ATATTATATATAAAGTAAGTTATATTTTATTATTTAACAAACAAAAATAATTTATAATTAATTTAATATTTATTTTTTATTATAAAATTAAGCTTAAAAAATTAGTAGTAAAAATCTGTTTTTCACCTTAATGATGTGAAAGATTTTATACACAATGTACTGCATTAAATCTTCAAAAATTAGAATCAATTATTGATATTAAAACCCATTGGAATTCTATAGATATGATGTTGGAAAGAGCTCTTTTATTAAAAAATACTTTTCATAATATATCATCATCTGATAAAGAACTTAATAAATATGGTTTTTCAAATTATGAATGAGAATGTATTAAAGAAACATATGAATTTTTACAGGTTTGTAATTTATTAAAAAATTTTGTTTAAAGTTATATTATATATATTTATTAATAATATTAATTATATTTAGCATTTTAAAAAAGGATCAGATTTTATTACTGGTCAATTATATCCTACACTTTCATATAGTGTACCAGTTTATAATTATTTAATAGATAAACTTGAAGATACAATTAATAGTAGTAATAATAGAATTGAAATTAAAAATTCAGCAAAATTAGCAAGAGAAAAAATTCTAGAATATTATCTATTAACAGATGGACATATTTATGTTATTGCTACAGGTTAGTTAAAATTAGATATTTTTAATTTTATATAATAATATTAATAATTATTATTTATAATTAATAGTAATAGATCCAAGATTAAAATTGCAATATTATGAAAATAATAATTGGGAATCTTATTATATTAATGAAGCAAAAAATATTATTACTAATGTCTGGGAAAAAAAATACAAAAATATTACAGATATTAGTCAATCTTCTGATAATTTAGAAGATGATATTCTTACTCATGTTTTTAGAAAAAGAAAAATAAATCACAGAGATGAGCTTAAATCTTATCTTAGAGATCCAGTAGTATCTAATAAAACTGATATTTTATTATGGTGGAAAGTAAGTATTATAAAAGATATTTATTATAATAATTTATTTTTTTAATTAACTTATAAATTGTTATAAAGCTTCATGAAAAAGAATATCCAAATCTTTCTAAAATGGCTAAAGATTACTTGGCTATTCCAGGTTAATATAAACTTTATGATTGTATTGTTTATAAATTATAACTAGGAAACAGAAACCGTTGTGAGTTCAGAGCGAAGTATTTTTGTAGATCTTCTCTTCAAACCCTTCAACTTCGAGAGACTTCAGCGCATTAAAGAGTACAAAAGATTACAAGAAAGGTTAGATAAAGAGAAACGTTTAGTTTTCATGATACCAAGAACTAAATGTAACAGATTTAACAATAAAAAAAAAATAGAAAGTAAAATTTTTCGTTCCAAATAATTATTGTTATATTTATATTATTATACTATATTAGCATGAAAAACTGCAAATACGCTTGTACATATGTTTTATTTCTATAAAATAGTGGAATCTAACTAATTGTTGCAAAAAAACCTTCGTTATTTTTAGAAAATTTTTTTTTCACACTTATCATATAACACATCATATAACACTTTTATCTTATATTTATCACAGATTTGTTTATCAGTGTAGCACAAAATTTCAGTGACGTGACATATGCGGACAAATGGACTTTGCCATGTGATATGATTACACTTAACATTTACAAACATATATATTCCTCCGCTTCACTCTGAACAATTACTATTAAAATTTATTATAATTGCTATTTTTTAGCTATAAGTGCACCTATAGAAAGAATTTTTTTGGGTGGAACAGATTTAGTAATATAAAAAAGATGCAGTTTAAAAGGTGAAACAATTTATAAATGCATGTGTCTTAAAGGATGGTTAAAATCAGGTTTATTTTAAAAAGAAAGAATTATTTTTTTTAAAAATAATACTTAGATTAATTATAGAGATTTATTATGTATTCATTTTTATTTTATATTATTTATATATACTTTTATTATTTTTAAGAATTTTTTAAATTTTTTTAATTATTGTTTTGCAAATAATAAAATTCGATTTATTAAATAAACTAAGTAAATATAAATTTTGTAATCTGCATCAACTATAAGTCAATTCATATTATTAATAAATACTCTGGAAGCAGATTTCTTAAAAGAAAATGTTCCGGAAGTGAATTTCTTAAAGAACAATACTCCAGGAGTGTAATTCTTAAAGAACAACACTCTAGAAGTGAATTTCTTAAAGAACGATACTCCAGGAGTGTAATTCTTAAAGAAAAATATTCTGGAAGCATTTTCACTTCAAGAGAATCGATTTGGAGACGTTTCTCTTGAAGAAAACTATTTCAAATACTATTCTTTTGAAGGAAATCACTTTCTGGAACTTTTCAATTACTTTGAAATTTTTTCAGATTTTTGTTAATAATGTAAGCCATATGAGCCGGCTTGTTTGGCTTGCGAGCCAGCTCAGCTTGCCACATTTTAGATTTGAGCTGAGCCGGCTCGTAAGCTGAAATAATTTGGCTCAGCTCGAGCCGATGGTGAGCTAGCTCGAGCCAGCTTATGCGGAGCTTTAACTGTAAACCTTATACAATACTTTGCATTAAAAATATTCCTGATGTAGTTAATGAAAATTTGTTAACAAATAATATCAAATTATCATTAATAAATTTTATCAATAGTTAATAAAATTAACAATTAACAATTTTGGCAATTTGTATGAATTTTACTATGAGATGTTAACAAAACTTCTTAACGAATTATTACTAATTAATAAATTTTAATTAAATAATATTCATCAATTAGGTATTAAACTGATTAATAACTAGTTGATAAATTGAATTTAATTTGTTACTATTAAACATATAGTTATAAATTTTTTAAAAATTAATATAAAATTGGATTAAAAACTAATTTAGGTAATTTTATTTAATAATTATGAATCAGATATTAAATGATTCATATCTGATTGTAGTTTACTAATTTGATAGCTAATCAAAAAAATGATTAATTGGAAAAGTATTTGATTAATAAGCGTTCAATCTGTATTAGATTATAGAGATTTGCAAGCAAATTTACTTGCTTATTTACTATAAATTTTCTTTTGATTTAAGAAATTTATGACTTTTATTAATGATAAAATAATTTAATTAGTATACAAACATATGAATTTTAAAAAAATTTTAAAAATTCTTTGAAACAATTTTAAAATTAAATAATTTTATAACCTTTTTAAAAAAAACTTAAAATATTTACTAATCAAGTTAATAAAATATATATTAAACTATATTTTTTATATAATAATAATATTACTAAATTAATATTTAATAGTTTATAAAGAAATTAATACTTTTGTAAGCAAATTTACCTGCTAAACAATCTAAAGAATAATTTTAATTATATAAATTCAAATTTAATAATACTTTCAAAAATAAAAATAAATTTTTAATTTAGATAAATTGTATTAAAATTTATAGGATTATTTATTTTATTAAAAATAATGGATTCATTTATATTAATTAAGTAAATTCATTAATATTTAAATTATTATTTTTAGAATTATAATATTTATACTTTAAAGGGATTTTAGATGATTATATAAAAAGTTTAAAACATAAAAGCAAGAGTTATTTCCTTTTTTTTTCTGTTTTAATAATAGCTATATAAAATAAGTTAGAAATTCATTAATGAATAACAAAGAATTTGAATATATTTTCCATATTTTTCATAAATAATCTTTAAATCCAGCTTTATGACTAAGAAATAAAAATTCATAAAACATAATAAGCAATGTTGATGACAAATTTCATTTGTTTAGGACTTTGCAATTATTTTACAAATGCATTATGATTTTTTTTGATCATAATTAAATGGTTTATACACACACACCTCCAATGGTTTTCCTTTTGATTGGAATTCTAATACCACATTCAACTAACTGGATTGAAGAAATATCAATGTAATTAGAAATCCTTAATCATTGATTAGTATGGAATTTGTCAATTAAATTGTAGGTTGGTTGGAATTTCTTCTAATAATAATATGATAATAAAGATCACAATCCATTATTTTTAAACTGACAGTCCCGTTTTATATTCGACTGAAATGAAATAGACCGTGACTTGAAATGGCTGTTAGAAAATAAAATCAGCAATCAATTCAAAAGATTTTGTACCGACGTTGTATGTGAAAAGTTGATTGGGCAGTTTTAATGAACATAAATTTTCGGATTTTATTTCATTATTGCGGAATCATTTTTTATGCTATTGAATAGAGTCGTCATGAAAATAAAAATTTATCACTTAATCAACATGATGACCGACTTAACATTGTATAGTATGAAACATGTGATTTTGAATGCGAAAAATTTATCAGTGGTTCGAAACCTTAATTTGGCAATATGATTTCTTTGTGTGGTAAGGTGCTTTTTAAAACCGATTTCCTCTAATATGACAACCGTTTTATGGGGCAACTTCTCTCTTTTTTTCACATTTCTTAAGCATACAAAAATAAATCTCCTTCTAAACACCCTAATAACAATAATTGGTTAATAGGTAATATTCCTAAACAAGTGATCGAAGATTTAATTGTAGAACTCTTAAATTTAGACGAATAAGTTTGGAACTTCATATATAATAAATAAAATAAAATAAAATGATTAGTAATTCGAGGTTAGGAATTTAAATAAATAATAACTTTAAAATGTTAATACATACATTATCATTTAATGGAAAGAATGTAATCGTATTACTATTATTAATTGTAATAACTTCATCTTTATACATATTCAATGCTACTATATCTGAATTAACTGTAAAAAATATAAGTGATTTAGCACTAATCCTATAAAAATGTTTTAAACATTTTTTAAGTTCATGTTTACCTCTAATGGTTTTAATTAAATTAACTGTATCAGTATCCCAAATATAAATCACATGATCTGCCGGAGCACAAGATACCAAGTAATTGTTTGCATAAAATTTCATCTGCATGAAACAAAAAAAAATTTCTTTAATAAACCATTGATATTTCAAGAACAAAATCTCATGATCATTTACTTACGTGAACAATATCAGTATCGCCAGCTTTCCAACTAGAAATTAAGGTCCCTGTTCGTGATTCCAATAACGAAATAACCCCACTAGTAAATCCAACAGCAATTAAAGTCTCGCATGGATTAATACACACAACTCTAATATTGCCAGCAAATATCGGAGCACTTCTCCATGGGAGTAAATGACTATTTGACTTAATGTCAAAGAATCTATTATATTAAAGAGAAAAGAAATTTAGACAAGATCCATTAAATCTAAAACAAAACTTTCGTTATAAACTTGCGTGATCGATGTATCGGCTAAACCTCCAACTAAAGTTGATCTAAATATTGGTTTAATCGATAAATATGGATTTTTAAAATTTCCAAATTGATGTAAAGTACTTCCAGTTTCAGGATCCCATATCTATGGGAAAACAATTTTTTACTCGTGTTTACATCTTTTCGAAAAAAAAAAAATTATTTTATTTTAAACTTACATGAACTTGACCGTCGCAACTAACAATATTATCGCCTAATCCCCAATTATCACCTCCACCAATAAAATGTACATCTCCGATCGTGCTCTTTCTATGTCCGGTATATGTCTTCAAACATTCTGAATAAGGCTCAATTAAACTATTTTCTATTCCTTGATGAATATTTAAAGACCATAACTTTACTGTACGATCTTTTGAACCTGATACAATTAATCGACTATGTTCATTTATATCCATGGAACGAACAGCCGATACATGGCCTATAATTAAAAAAATATATATTCAAATATCCTTTTTTTTTTTTAAAAAAAAAAAAAATGATGTAATTCTACCTTGAAAAGTCCTTAATTTTAGGTCATTAAATGTAAACTGCATAGAGTTCGACATTTCCTCTAATATATGATAAAATTAAAGTAAATGTAAATATTTTAAATTCAAATTATGTAAAAAAGAATAAAAGAAAAAAAGAATGCCTGAATTCGTTGATAAGAATCTAGTCCAATTCCTGTATAATAATTAGAGATTATCAAATAAGAGTATTAAATCAATTTACTTAAAATATTTAAACTTTACTTACTTTAAGTCTTCATTAGAAGAACTTTTGGTTCTCCAAGATAAATTGACTTTTAACTTCGACCTACAAAGGAAATTATTTTAAACATATTCCTCTATACAATAAATATATACTTTCATTGAAACTTACTTCTTGGGCCCACCAGAATTTGAAATATGATTATTTTTAGAAGACACTGAAGTTGTCATACTAATACTTCTCGTAGGAGAACCGCCACTTCCACCATGATTGATGTCCTGTAATTTCTTACTAGCAACTTCTCCATTACCGAACATACTAAGCGCCCGATTAACACTAAATCCTGATGAAGTCGTAGCGGCTGACGTAGTTATTGTTGCCACTTCTTTCGTTATAGAAGTATTAGTACTTGGTAACAACGTCAAATGTTTTTTATCTTCAAAATTTATATTCCAACGCGAATTTGTTGGAGTTACTGCCAAGATGGAAGTAATTGGAGATTTTTCTTTATGTAAAGTGTTTTCAGAAGATGCTGATGTTATTGATATTCGATCGCTTGGAGTTTCAGTTAATGAATATGATGGGGACATGGTACGACATGAAGATGGATAAGACTCTGAAGAATCCGATATAGCCGGCTCAATAATTTCACTATTAGGAATAGCTTGTCTTATAGTCTCTTTTTCAAATAATGTACAAAATTGGGAATATGCATACATAATCTAAGAATGAATATGTAATATATATAAAGTAAGATAATTTTATATATATTAAAAAAAAAACTTTGGATCCTAAAGCAAAAGAATAAGTAATTAGGATGGACCATTTTTTACCTGCTGATCCCTTTCCTGCTCCAGCTTACTTAAAGTGACTTCATCCACTTTTCCATCATTTTGAACAGATTTTCCAAATAATTCAAAATACTTAACTAGAATGGGTGCAATCTGATATTTTCACCAAAATGTGTAAGTTTCTTAATTAAAACTTCTCATACAAATTCCAAAATTAATAGATTCTCACTTCTTGAAATCAAACTTACATGTTTCTCCCATTCACCCTTTTCGATATGATTACAAATATTTAATATAAATTCCATTGTTTTGATACTAATGGAAAATTTATTTTTCATTATCTGTATTGACAAATTATTCTTTCCGCTAGTATTGTTTACTTTCTTACTAGAAGTTGTACTAATTGACGAATCACTAGTACTAGATTGTTGTCCAAATAATAATAATAATTTAATCAAAATATTTGAAAATCCCGATTCTATTTCTACCAGGATTTTGGAGCTTGACATTAATGTTGTTAACTAAATTTCAAAATAAATATTATATTTTAGTTATAATATAGAAATTAATATGAAATCAAATGAAAATCGATTTACCTTTTCTAGTAATGAGAAATGATTACATAATATAGCATAATTCCTATTATTCATTGTAAAATCACTATATTGTTGTATTATACTAATAACTTGAGTGAATTGTAATTGTGTAAATGTTTCTCCAAATTGATTTCCTATAAATATAATAACGTGATCAGTATTATAAATTTAAATAAAATTAACTAAACAATTTTATTTACCAATAGCCAAAACACTTTGCATCAAAAAATTCAAAGTGGAACTTTCTTTTAAAAACATTTTATAAACCTGCTTCATAATATATTTGCTGCTCAAAATAGGACCTAATAATGTACATATATCTACAAGTGCCCCATTTGCCAAAAGCGCTACACTTGGTAATGCATTATCCAGACTACTTGTTAATATTGATATTGGGCTTGCAACCATTTCTCTGTTTGAGAATTTTTTTGCATTGTTTAAATTATGGTGTAAATTTTGATCATTATAATTATGCGGAAGTTCTAAGAAACTGTTCGTTCCATGTGTATATGGTAGTACATTTTCTTCGATTGTCAAAGATTCTAGATAGAGTGGAAATAATTGCTGAAGGAAATTAGGAATTCCAAATTTATGTATAAATTCCTTAATAATAACAGAATCAAACAGAATTTTTGGAATTGAAGGCTTTGAAGACTAAAAAGTTAAAATTTATAATTAGATTAAAACCATATTTTTAGGATAAATTAAAAAGAAAATGTCTTAATGTTACCTCAAATAAGGAAACAATAGGTTTTAAAAGGTGAGTCTTAGTCTCATCTTTTCCTAATCTCTGTCCAAGGCTTGAAAAAATATTTAATGCTTCGAACTTTATAGAATCATGAGTAAACAACAAAACGAGACTTGGTAATATCATGTAAAATGCCTAAACAAATTAATATGATTAAAATATAATCATTAAAAAGATTAAATGTTATCAATGAACAGCAATACCTCATCAGTAAAGTTACACAATCTGTCCATCCAATGTTCAGCCAATTTCAATCTTCCGATCCAATCCCTTTTGAAGTAAAGAATTCTATATTAAATTAAATTTTACAATCCTTCATTTATAATGTTTATTATCCATACTTACACTTTATGAAAATCTGTTAAAAATTCATAAACTTCCGGTATGCAAATGGGTAAAGGAAACGTAACACATTGATCACATAAACTTGTAACTGGTACTGAACAATATAATATGGAATCAATTGATGGACGTTTTCTCCAATCCTGATTAAGTAACGAAGAAATAACCCCTTGAATTGGTAATGGTAACTTATATAATTTTAAAAAATTATTAAAATATACAGAAATATTTTTCAAAGAAAATAATTTATAAATTTAGCAAAAATTACCTTGGAATTACTTTTTTTTTGATTTTCTTCCCGATTTGTTTTATTACATAGCAATGATAAATTTATATCATCCGTTGGCGTATGATAAATACTTTCAATAATTTTACCAAGACAATAAGTGTCCCAAGCTCTTCCATATGCAAAAAGCATTTCATTTGGTTCCATAATCTCATTATAAACCGATTTACGTTTCTGCTGGGGATCATGAACAATGTTTGTTTCATATAACCCCTTATTAACATTATTTTGTTTTAAATCATTATTATTTGGTAAATACTTTGCAGCAAAAGAATGAGCTTGTTCAAAATTACTTAATTTCTCTATAAAAGATTCATTATTCATATCATCAGGTAAATGTATTGGTAAAGAATTAATTAATGTTAGCAATATTTCAATACGATCTTTTGAATCCGAATTTGTTACCATAGCTGCTGTTACCGCCGTTGAAGGAACGTTTGACGAATTATCTTTTTTTTCATCAATACTACTGACGACCTCATATAAAGATAATGATCTTGGTGTTGTAGGACCAAGTTTTGGTGACTTAGAATTTCTAACATTGGGTGAAACAGTTTGATGATATAATTTTCCTATAGTTTTATGCGTTCCGTTACTATTAAGAAAATCTGTCATCAGCTCTGAAGTTGTCTTAAAATCCGAATTTGTTATTTTAGATGGAATCCTTCGTTTGGAGGAAATCATTTCGTATTTTTCTAATAACGTTCTGTCTCCATTCATATATACGGTTGAACGTCCTTCAACGTTCTTTATTATGGATTTTTGTGGATGTGGATCAGAAAACAACTGCGTAATTCCATGCTTCATAAATGAATTCTGTCCATCTATCAGTGGCAACGCTACATTCTTGGCCTCTACGGCATCTTTACCTTATATAGGTTAGACACTATTAGATGTGCATTATAAATAAACAATAATAAAGGAAAAAATAGTTTAATAATGTACCACTAAGTTTACATCCAAAAGTCAAATCTATCCATTGATGTAGATTACTCGACACGTGATCACTTTCTAAAGCTTCAGAATGAATTTTTATGAATTCTTTGGCGGAAGATGCCCACCTGATAAATAAAAATTAATAAATAATTCAAAATTATTACACTGTTCTAAGTTTAAAATATTTACATTGGCAATTGTAAGTCGGGCATATCCGGATGTATTGAAGTAAATATACTTGGATCTATTATTAAATCAGGAAAGAAAATTAAAAAAAAAGAAAAAAAAAACTTGCGATAAAATCTATACCATTAATTCTTACCTGTATAAAATTCAGGAATACATTCATCAGGCGTCCACTCAAATAATCTTTGTAAAGATGATGGATACTCATTGGGTTCATATTTTGTTCTCACATATTGACACAACACCTATGTTAAAAGATTAATTTTATTATAAATTTTTTTTCGAATTTCTATAATCATCTTCACATACCGGAACAGGTGTTTTTCGTGCTAGATAAACATAATAAGTAATATCTGACAAAATATCTGTAATGTGATGAGGTATCGGGCCATCAAATGTGAAATCTAATTGTTCGTCACCTATGAAAACATTATATATTAATATCTTGAAGTTTTTTTTTTTTTTAAAAGGAAAAAAGATCGTGTTAAGGTGCATAAAAATGTCTGTAATGTTTTCTAAATTTTAATAAAATATAGACTACCTTTATTTAGACGAAATTTTGTTTTTGTAAAATCTCTCCAATATTTTGAAACATCTGACCCGGTAAAATCCGTTATCCACGGAAATATTGGATGAAAATTTGGATCACCAATTCTACGTCCTAATATTAGAAATAATAAGTAAGTTATAAATACGAGATTTCATTACGACTTCACTGAAATAAAAAACATTATATATCAAACCGGCAAGATAATTCAAGGACAATATATAATCAAAATTTTTTATATCTCCTCGAACCCATTTCATGGTAAGCGTATCATCTTGTATTTCTGCATTATAAAAATTAATAAGGAACAATTTATTAGAATATGGATAACCATTACATTTTCGACGTACATATTGAACCGACCTTTTGGAATATTTCCCAATGCAACTTCTTGTGAATAATGATCTATATATATAAATTAATAAATTAAATAATTACTTTGAAAATTCTCTATGTTTGAAATTATAATTTTACCGACATTTATTATCGCATATAGGAACCGAACATTCGAATCCAGTAAGCGTCACCCATAAATTCTCATCCACCAAAATATTTGACGGTTTGAGTCTATCAAATGAAAATAAATTTAATTCGACTTTTACGTTTATAAAAAAGCAATGCTAAAAACATTCGCTTACCCTCCATGAATCACACCTTTTTGATGAAGTTTTTGTACAGTTTTCAACAATTGGTATAAAATAAACGACTTCTTAACGTTAGAATCCAATACGCCGGAACTAAACTTCAATAAATCCTGCAGTGTAGTTCCACGATAAGGAGCCATAAAATAAAAAGCTCGATCTGATTCTAATACCGCAAAAACATCGATTAAATTAGGGCTCGTGGTTGGCACTTCGGAAGACCAATCAGGAATAGATAATAATTCAATAGACAATGAATCGTCTGTGGGTGGTGATTTGATTCGAAAATAGGCACTCTCCGGATATAAGATTTCTATGAATGTTTTAACAAAAGCCTTTGAAAAAATAGTACAAAATTAATCAATTCTAAAGAATTTAATTTAAATTTATACTGATTATGTATATAAATACCTCTTGTCTAGCCAACTGGATTTCTAAGTCAGTTAGAACATCATCATTCTGAAATTGATGATCTATAAATATCGGGACATAACTATTATACTGCGCCTCGATTTCTTCCAAACTTGACATTGGTTTATCTTCAAGTTGTTCTTTAAGAAACGTTCTTATTGGTAGTTCTAAATCTTCTTCATATTTATCTGATGATGCATCGCTGTTACGAGAATTTACTTTTGAAAACAACTGTGGTCTAAGATATGAGAAAAATTGATCATGATCGATGATTTCTTTCCTATTCCTTTTTTCATTTACAATGACTTTTCCTAAGGCGCTTATCTAACTTACCTTCGATTTCCTGGTATCTGACGTTTCAAAAAAACGCTGACCAAAACATTTGTGGTGGATGCTTGACAATCATCGGTATTCAATTGATCAGAATTATTGTTGGAATTCAAAGGAGAACGAGAATTAGTAAATCGTTTTAGTTGTATAGTATCTCCGCGTCTTGCTTGTTTTAAAATAGATAGCCAATGTTTATGTACCTAAACATGATAAACAAAGTTACAAAATGCTGAAACGAGGACATTTACTTTGTTGTATCAACCTCTTTTTTTTTTTTTTTTTACTTACCACACAACATGCGGTCGCTCCGGTTTGCTCTTCAACAGAAAAACAAGGAAATGCGACATCGATATGTAATTCTTGAGCAATAATAGCAGTAAGTTCTTCTCTATCGAGTTTATTGATAGAAACCATTTCAATGAGAATAGATTTAAATATGTCGATCATTGATTGAATTTCACAATTTATTCACATGACAATGTTGATCGATTGATTATTTTTAAGGGGCCCGCATTTTTAAATATTTAAGCATGAACAGGTTTTCTGTTTCTTTTGGCTGGCGGTCCTTTTTTTTTTTTTTTGTTTTTTCTTTCTTTCCTTTCCTGCACATTCTCTTACATTTGATCGATCATCTTGATACTTTTTTTATTATTATAATGGCTGCATATTTAACGTCTGATTGTCTTACGAATATCCTTTCATATTTTGACTCGGATCCGCATTCTTTACATTCTTTCCTTTTGGTAAATCGTTATTGGTGCATTAATACAGTACCATTATTATGGCGACGTACTTTTTATCTTACAGCACACGGATCTTTTTCATCAAAAAGTAGATGTAGATTAATCTCCACATATCTAACCTGTTTGGCATCAAATAAACCGAATTCGCCAAATTTAGATTGCGGTATTACAATCACATCTCATAAATCTGCCATACATGCATCATCATCGAACATTACAAGAAATATACAAAATCATTTCTCATTTGCGCAACAGAAATCATTGACATTTGACTATGTGTCATTTTTGCGAGGATTCGATTATTTTCAAGTATATTATGCGATTGGAAATTGGTATGCAAATCAATCGTCGGAAAAGAAACAATCAATTGAATTCATAAAAATCTTTGGAATGGATGATGATGAATGTAGGAAATTAATGATCACCAAAGAATTAATCACTTACATATTAAATCATTCTCCAATAATTGATTATTTAGCACTGGACGCCGAGTCAACAATACCATCTGAATTTACTTCAATTGGAAAATTTCCTGGTGCTACAATTTGTTTATCTTATATTCGAACCTTTATTTGTCGTGGCAGTTCAAAAAAATTAGATTCGTATATAGTCCTTTCCAAGATATGTAGAAACGTTGAAAATATGACAATTTGTGGAATTGGTGAAGATGATTCAAATGCCGAAGGGTTATCTAATTTTATAAGAAAACAACGTAATTTACGTAAATTCGTATTATGGGATGGAACTAATGATCAAATGCCAAAAGTCATTAAAGCTTTATCGGTTAATCGTGGAAAATTGAAATATTTGGAATTTAGATTTTGTAACTTTGAAAATTGTAGACCATTGGAATCTCTTGCATCTGCTTGTTCAGCATTAACAACTTTAAAATTTATTCGATGCGGAGAAATTTCAAGTAACATTACACTATCCTTTTCGAGATCTTTATTTCCTAATCTACGCGATTTGGATTTACAAGAGACTCATTTTCCGGCCGATACGTTAGAAGCAATTTTTCATCACGCGAATGTTAATTTGCTTTCAATTAATATTGAAGCGGATTCAAATCAACATTTTCGTATAATAGAAAAATTGGCTTCTAATTGCCCAAACATAACAAAACTTCATGCAAAGTTATCCAAGAATGGAATGGGACAACTTAATTCCTTATTTCGTTCTTGTAAGCGTTTAGAAACAATCATATTACAAGGTCATCTTCCGAGTCGTCTATACATATTTGCACAGGATGCTAATGATGATTTATTAATTAATCTTCGCGAAGTCATACCAGCTAGTTTGAAAAAATTTGTGGTGAAAACTGATTGTGCGTTCACAGCATCGGCCGTTGATACTTTTCTTCGTGAATGTAAAGCTGATTTGAATAGATTGGAGTTTATTTCTTATGGAAGTGTTTGGCAGCATTTGAACGTTATAAAAAGGTATGCAAGAAAACATAGATTGGAGATTAAGCAACAAATTGCTGGTAACTATAAAGAATTATTAATGAGAGAATTAGGTCATGTTATTGTTGAATTTGAATAATAATAATAATAGTAATTAATAATAATAGTAATAATAATACTAAATAGCGTAATAATTTTAATAGGTTTATATACTCATAATAATTATAATTTAAAAAAAAAAAAAAAACACAATCTAATATATTTATAACTTTTTAAATTACATTATTTAATCTATTTTTGAATTATTTACTTAATAAATTTATCGAATATATAATATTTACATCAAGTTTAAAACATTTATATGTTTTTAATATATACACTTTATTATATCCTCATGTAAAAAAAAAGGAAATGTCTACTGATTTCGCGTTAAAAAATCGCGAATTAATATAACATATAATAAGCAATAATTAAATCATTTAAAATGTAGCAAGCATTTGCTTACTTACCCATCAAGAAAGAATTTTATCTATCCCTCCTCATTCTCTTGATCGAATCCAATCCGATAACCATAATAAAGAATTTCCGTTCCTCGATCTTTCCAATTCTGCCAACGCATCATAGATTCCAATTTGTTCTGATCTAACTTGGACTTCTTTTACAATAATTCTACGTTTTCTTAAATGATACTCATTTTCATAAACCCATTTACCTCCATATCTTTCCATCATCAATATCACAGATGGATTCCCATTAATTCCAACATTCCATTCGTTCCATATATCTGTAACCGATCCCATTGCTTCAATAGGACGAATGTGATAATAAGGTGGTAATGGTTCAAGGGTATTAACAACAGAACTACTGCGGGAGTCATAATTAACGCCACCTCCATTTGTTGAAATAGTTTTTGAACTACTACCAGACCTAACTAAACTCTCATTATTATTAAACTGCACTGTTGGTGTACTTTCAGAAGAACTTCCACCAATGCCTGGCACAACAAATGGATTATTGTAGGGATCTATAATGAGACACGTATTACCAGATGAACCAACTTGAGGAGTGCTACTATTGCTGTGCTGTATTGTAGAATTGCTATGCGATGTTGTGGAAGCTGCCTCACGAGATATTTCCGAATAATTATTATGAGGAGTTGTAGCAATCGGAAGGGTATTGATCGAATTTATTGAATTAACCAAAGCTGAAGTCGCATCATTTACATTAAATATAGGCGGACGAGGCGGTGAATTATAATAGGGCATACTATGTGAATTTGAATCAATAAAGGTATTATAAGGGCTACTATGTTGTGAGGGACAAGCTTCGGTGGATGAAGATGTAACAACTGGCATGGTCGAGTGGTTACCACTCATGAATGTATTGGCAGCCTTCATCATATATGGACTAATAACTATTTGAGCTTCTGAGGAATTTTTATTTGGCAATATTCTTTGATTTTTTCGTTTGGATGCTGAAGATGTAGTTGATTTTGATGCTGATCTTTTCCTCGTCGTTGTCTTTTTCTTACTAGGACTATTCTGTGATTGATGCGTTGAAGGACTACTGTCTGATATTCCATCGAGATCTTGTAGGCCAGTAAATGAATCAGTTAAATTAACGTCATCATTTGTTGAATTCGGTGGAACCATAAAGCTAGAAGTTTGATTCCTTAATAAATTCGAAGAATTTACGGTAAGACTTTTTGGTGATGAATTAACTGAATTAATAATACTCTCTATATTATGCTTTAGTCTTTCTGGTCGAGGTTGTAATTGCTGATTCTGGGCTGGAAGTATCGGTCGATTTATTCTCGTCTGTTGTTGACTTTTTGATGAATTTGCATTTGCCGATAAATTTAATTGATTAACTTGCGTTGTACTTAACAAATTTTGTAATGCGTGATTATGATGTATTAGATTTGCGTTTTCAAGTCTTGCAGCAGCTTGACTCGAACCTGCTATTATTTTAGGCAAATTAAGTGGAATAGGTTGTGGAACAGGTTTGTAAATAACAGGTTTTGGAACAGAACTCGGAATGGGATTGAAAACGGGATCAGGGTCAGGGTAAGGATTAGGATCAGGATCAGGATTAAAAACGGGGCCAGAAACTGGAAAAGAAATGGGAACAGAAATGGGCACGGGTTCCTGATTTAACTGTTGATTTATGTGATTTTGATTTTGTTCAGATTCTGGAATCTCCGTTTCCTGAGGTGTGACAGGTGAAGATGTTTTGTTTGGTTTATTCTGATCTGAGGCGATAGGCGAAGTTGTTGAAACCACGTTGTTCGAACGATTCTTATTTTCATCCGTTTCAACATGTATTTCAGTCTTGTCTGTAGATTCTACCGAACCAGCGACGGGTGTAATATCTGTTTCAACAAAAGTCCTTGTAGTCATATTTCCAAACTGATCAGCCTCAGTAACTGTGGTCATTTTAATTGATATCGTTGTACTTGTTTTTTGAGTTGAACATCCTGTGGAATGACATATATCGCATGAAGAACTTCCAGTTTCTCGTGATTCACTTTGAGTTGACGTACGCGCCTCCTGATTCATAGGAGTATGTTGATGGCTAACTGAGGCTCTTTGGGACTCGTTTGATAATGATTTTTCATAACGTTGAGATAACTCTGGACGTGTTTGAATATGCTGTGATAGTACGTCATCTCGACCAGTTGGTATTGGTACAACTCTTGGAGGTGGAATTTCACGCATTGGCATGTAATTTTTAGTTAGTTTTGGTGTAACCCTTTCAGTAGTGTTTATAGGCTTAGGAGGTACCATTCTAGAAGTTGACCCACTCATGTGCCCCGCTTGTGTGTAATTAGGATATTGTAAATGATTTTGAAGTTGTGGTAACAATGCATTTGATAAAATCTTATGACCATTTGAAATATTCCCACTTGAAGATGTTCCTTGTATTAAATTTTGAATCGCAGGATATACTGTACTATCACTTTTCAATGCCAAGTTAACATTAGGTACCCTCGTTCCTGGAGTACGACGAAAACCCAAATTCGTTCGATTTATTTTAGATGAAGAACCGGACGTATAATTTACATTTGGTGAATAATCTTCATCCCTCGGATCATCAATTTCTTCAAACATAACATCTTCATCGTCAAAATAAAAGTCATCATCATACTCTTCATTATCATAATCTACTAATTCATCATCACCATCATCATCACTGCAATCTATTAAATTATGTAATGCTCGTGACTTTTGTTTCATACTATCATTTAACGACGTACTTCTTTTTATTTTATTATTTGATGACAAACTTTTTTTTGGTTGATTTTTCTTTGGTCTACCAAGTGTCGAGCCTTTTTTTGATTTACTTTGTTCAGACTTTGACTGTTGACCAGATTGCCGAAATGGTTGCATTTGTTTAACTTGTTTGGTTTGTACATTCGTTATGGATTGTTGCATTAATGGATTTTCTTCCGTTTGTACAACCTCTACAGAATCATCAATTTTATGATCTACGCTAGCTTTTGTCAATGATCTTGTTCTCGGTCTTCTCATGGTAAATTAATTATTATCCCAACCAAATATAATGATCACTCAAATCAAGTATCCGGAACTCAAAATAAAGATTGAACTCATTAACAACAGAACTTTTAAAATATAAAGAATCAAATGTTAAATAATTTGTAAAATAGATTGGTTTTAAAAAAAAAAAGACTTTTTTTTTTTATAAAAATATTAATTATTACCTTAACAATGAAAAATTTTCACTAATGAAAAAAAAGTAAAAAGTAATGAAATGAATAAAAATTTAAAATTTAATTAATTTCGGTTAATTTGAAAATTGGAATGAATATAAAATCTTTTTAGAATATTAATTATAATACCTACTTTATTAAAATTTTTACTTGTTATTAAGGGAGTTCCGTCTACAATGGAAAATGTATGCGTTTACAACCTTGGCACTTTATTTTTTAATTTACGAAACTAAACTCATTTTATAAAATATTAAATGAAAGTATATACAGTAAATATTTATTTAAATTTTTTTTTCACTTTTTTTGTTTTTTAACCGCAAGTAAACAAAAATATCAATCTTATTTAAAAGAAAATAACATACAAAATTTACATAAAACAAACAAATATTCTGCGTAATTCGCGCGTCGGAGACGAAATAGACAAGGAAAGTTTTTTAAGATACAGATACGTATAAAAAACATGATCATTGGGTATACATGCATTTTTTTTTTTTTTTAGATAAAATTAGACTTGCGGCATGACCATTTTAAGAATTAACGTTGTACAAACATTTGGTTGACTATCATTTAAAGTTATTTCTCATAATTTTTTTAAATTTATTTGGAATATACAATGACCGAATTATTTTCTCCTGAAATTCTCTCAGAAATATTCAAATTTCTTTATGTGTCAGATCATCAAAAAAGTAATCTTTTTAATTGTGTTATAGTCAATAGATTTTGGTGTAGAACAGCAATTCCAGTTCTTTGGTCGGATCCATTTAGATTTTTTGATTACGAAATACCAGATGGATTAATTACCATTTATATCGCTTGCCTAACTAAGAGAGAGAGGCGTAGTCTTAAAAGGAAAGGAATTGAAGTTCCGATGAAGGTCAAATCACCATCATTTGATTATATTACTTTTCTCAAGAATTTAAATTATTATGGTCTTATCTCATCATTATTTCATTTCGGATGTAATGGGATCTATAAGAAAAACGACTCATTTGATATTATGTTGCCAGCTTTACTTGAGATACTTGCAAATAGAGATCTTATTTTACAATCGTTGGAACTTGAGAATCATGATCGACGCGGTGATTGGGATAATGAATACATGCATCTCGTAAATCCAAATGTTCGTTCTTTGGTAGAGCCAGTAAAAAAATTATATCTAGATTGTAAAGTATTAAATGCAAAATTCTTACCATTACTTAATGGAGAATGTCAAAGCGTTGTAAGTGACAATGAACTAATGCTTTATCCTTTTTTATTTTATTTTAATGTTTCAACTAACCTTGTTTCTCTTAGCGACATTTGCATATAAATTTGCATTTTCAAAATTCTAAAAAAGAGAACATAATTTGTGAGAGAGATGTAACATATTATGCCGATTTGATTGAACGACAAGAATCATTAGAAGTCTTAATGATTACAAATTTTGTTAGATGTTTTAAAAAAATCTTTCCATCTTTTAAAAAACAAGCAAAATCGTTACGGGTAATAGAATTTATTAATTCTGATTTCAAGGAATGTGAATCTCTAGAGGAAATAGCCAACTGTGAGAATTTACAATGTTTGATTTTTAGGAAATGTGATAATTTGACAGATGAAATATTCAGGCCTTTATTTAATGCCAATTTACCAAAACTTCAACAAGTTTCTTTGGAACATTCTAAAAGAGACAAAGAAATTGAAATATGGTTACAAAGTTTTATGCAAGAAAGAAATTAGAGATTCTGATTTAATTTGTGATTAAATCATGAAAATATGCCAATTTGTTGGAATTGGTATTCTAAACTGGATAAAATGTTTTTATCTAATAACTGCGTATAAAATTTTTTAAAGAAGTCACTTTAACATAGATTTTGGGTTGATCATCCAGAAAAAAGTTGAGGATTGAGGATTTAGTACGATGAGTCTTCTATTTTATATGTTTAGGATCTGAAACGAGACAATTGCCAAGTATGAGAGATACCACATATATATATGAGTTAGCTAGAGCCCTTGAATTTTTATTTCTTAGCTATATAAAAGTAACCAAAGAGTACTCCGCATTTAATCATTAATTAAACTAAATAATAGTATTCACTCTAAAGAAAATTCTCTTTATTAATTGATCATAATACTTTATTAATTATCAAGATCACAAAAATCAATAATGCTCTCAATTGACCCCGGTTTTTGATGAAGATAACCACAAATTATTTGTAATGATAGTTACTAAGTCTTCAATAGTAACTTAAGTTCCTATCACTTCCTATCAAATAGTGACTGTTTTTAGACTCGGTCCTAAATAATATGTCATATGGAAGGGTTTAGTTTTATAGTGCAAAAACTATTAACAGATTACTTAATAATCACACTTGATTTATCATTACTGCATATACTGCATATATGATATCAGGATCGCGCGTCTCTGAATTTAAGTCGGATGATTTTGATAGAGACCAATTTTCCCAAAAAATTTCGGTCATCATTGTTATTCATATTGCTGGGTTCATTTACCTTCCGAAACATTAATAGGTATGTAATTGCAAGATTGGTAACAATTAGGATCAAATGGATCCATCCCTTTTACCATCTTTGATTAGTCCCACAACGATTTTTTAGCTGTAAAACAAATTATAACGAATTATCGCACGATTCAATTTCCTATAAATACTCCACAACTCCACTTTGCAAGGCAGGTTAACATATGTTTTTGATACATTAATTATGAATGAATTACAAAGATCACTCCTATATATAAAAATTGGTAAACTTCGAGAAGTGAATAGGGACCTTTGTAATAGAAAGGAGGAACTGCCGGGACTAATCAATTTTACTTTTATATGGTAAATATGCCGAAATTCAATACGTTCAGATTTAGCATTAACTCACTCATATTTTATTTTTTTCCTGGCAGTTTCCCCTCTTTCTATTACAAAGGTCCCATATACAGTATGTACCAATATAGAATGATACTTTATATGTAAAGATAGTTCCGATATTTACCGAACTTAATTATGTTTTTCCAAAATAATTTACCGCTTCATATACTGTATAATGCACTTTGAAGAAGAAAATTACTTTCATGAACTTTTATTTCTTTAGATTATATTCAATCTAACGCATCATTGTTTGAATAAAGAAAATCCCGTCTACAGATGATGTCCAAAGGAATAAAATGTTCCATTATTTCTTTGATTTTCCAATACCGAACTGGGGTCACCGGTAACCTCAAGAATTCGATTTCACTTTGTGACAAAACCATATGAAAAAGAGATGTAAATATCGTTTTACAAGGTCACAGGACGACTGATAATTTTGCAAAATCAGTAAACTCGATATTAAATTTTTCGAAGAAAACAATCGCTACAGTGCTCCGAGCATAACGATTTTATTATACGTAAAAATATGTGGATAACTTTTCCGAATCTTTATAAATTTTCTCGGAGATTATCGACTATCCCGTGCCTTCTAAAAATAGCTGTAATATCATTATTGGGATGTTGATAAATAGACATTAACTTACTTTTCACGATTTTAAAGTTTTTGATCATATACTTTACATTATTATATCTCTGCTCCTGAATATAGTTCCAAAGTATATCATTAGGTAAGAATAGTGAACGTATAAATCTCAAAATTAAAGATAACCTGTTTCTGTTACTTTTGTACATTAGTTAAAAATGCTAAATTACCTTATTTCAATATCATAAAATACTTTGTTATTGTATTTTTTAAAGTAAATGGAAAATTCTATATACTAAATTTTATGTGCTTTATTTTTTTTTATAAATAAATAAAATAATTAAAGGCATTTTTGCAATTAACAATATGTACTGAATTTTATATTTGGTTTTATGTTATTATTAGGGATTTAGAGTATTAATCTCAAAATCTTTTGATAGAAATATTCAATGCATTCATTTAATAACAACTTCTTGATTACTTAAAATTTTCTTTGATTTTATTTTATCTATGTATTAATTTTCAAATAGTTCTGAATATTTATAGATCGAAATGATTATATTATATACTATCGGCAAAATGATCGACATGATGACAGTATGTCCACTTTTTTCAATGTGTAAAGATGATATAATAACGAAAGATCAATTATTTGACACTTAACTTTAGATGAAATAACCAATTAAATTGTTTGAGAGATTACATGTTTCAAAGAAAGGAATAACAGAAAAACCGAATTTTGGGATATCGAATCGCATTGTTTTTATCCAATCCCAAAGTTGAAAGCTTCAATTAAAAATGTTAAAACCAATGCAATGAAAAGTATTCGTTAAATCTCAGTGAAATAGTTATTTATTTTTAATCATTATTAAATGAACTGCCGAAAAGTATTGATCATACGATAACAAACAAAATTACCCCTAACCAAATTTCACATGAGTAACTATACTTGAATGATCGATGTGAACATTCAATCTAAAAAAATAAAATTATAAAATAAATAAATATAAATATAAAGTTCCTCATTTTAAAGTATAATTTGTACCTTTCTGGCTTAAAATCCATGGACACCATAGAATCAGGTGTGATGACTCTATGAACAGCTGGCAAATCCGTTTCACGGACAACCTAAAAAGTATATAGATAAATAAAAATTATTTGAATAAATTTTTATATTTACCTACCTTGTTCTGTTCTTCGGCTGCAATTGACACATTGCCACGAATGAATTTCTTTCCAACTAATTGAGCTTCCCAATCTTCAAGAGATTTTTTAGACATCTTTTTTTATAAGTGGGAAAAGAAAATTTTACTTTTATGATTTGATATGCGCCATATTAAATCATGGACGTTGTACGGAAATATTTAGCCTTTTAAGGTTAGTTTTTTTTTGACAAATTAATTGAGCACCATTGGACCACATAAAAACGCATAAATTTTACTTATGTTCCTTGAACAACATCCCTTCCTTTATTAAATTTTGTTTTTTTTTTTGACAATTAAATATTAAAGATGTGCAAACATATACTTAACGCTCAGGTATATGGTGTTTTGCTTTTTTTTGCAACTTTTTTTTTTAGATCTAATTAGTAACGCTATAATATATTTTACCAAAAGGTTTCAATTCGTGCTCCATGCTGTAAGCGTTGGTTTGACTGTGCTGAATGCCATGCAGAAGCATCGGATCATGAATTAGCAAAGTCCATTGAGATGGTTTTCGCCTGCAAAAAATGTAAAAAATGTTTCCGTAAAGATCTGGAGAACTTTGATGAAACAGATGAATATTGCCCTCACTGCGACAATCATTATGTGTTGGAAGCCAAAACTCCTTCCTTTGGCATTGGCGTTGAAGGTGATGATCCAAGGGTTGAAAATAGGTAAGGTTGAAAGGATTCTTTTGTTTTGTTTATTTTATCTTGTTTGAACTATATAACTAAATTGTTTTATTTTAAATAGATTGATTAAAGATGAACGTTTAAAACAAGATCCTAAAAAGAGTATTTTCAATCAAGATATTACATATAGACTGGGTTAAATTCAGTTTCTTTTCCATAACAAAGCATTTTTTTGTAAAGAATTTTATATACTTTTATCATAGATATAATATAATAGATCGAATTAGAAGGACAAAATTATTTATTTTTCCAAGTACTACGTTAATAATAATAATAATAATAATAAAACGGGGGAATTTTTTACACTCTTTAGATAATATAGATAATATGATAATGTTGAGTCTCTATTGGATAAAATAATGAATAATTCACGTGATAAATTTGGTCGAAAATGGGGATGATTCGTTAATGAATATTTAACGCGAACATTTTTGCTCAATAAAAAAAAAAGCCAAAGGACTCGACATAAATATATTAAACAATAAAAATTCTTTTATTTTCCCTTGCCTTCAATCATAAATTTATCTATCTAAATTATTAAAATGTCTCGTTTTGTTCGCTCTTCAAAATTCAGGTACGTTCATCTTAAACATTATACGAATTTGACTTTCAGTATTATAGTGATAAATATAACTTCTTGATGGCCAAATTTGAATACTGTTCTTGATTAACGTATGTTAGCTTGCTTTTTTTAATTTTTAAGACACGTTTTCGGTACGGGGTCAAAACATGAAAATTGCTTTGATAATGTTAAAGTTTCGTCAAACGCGTGGGATACTAATCTCGTGAAAATTAATCCTGTAAGTTCTTATTTAACTAATTTATTGATAATTGTCATTAATTATCTTATACTTCTTATGCTATTTTCAGTCATTTATTTCCATTAATTGGAATGCCGGGGGAGGCGGGGCTTTTGCCGTCATTCCGCATAAGAATGTTGGTAAGTTTTAATACAACAGATTTTGATTATTTTTCATGATTGATAAATAATTGGTTTATCTATTTTTTAATTTTATCAGGTAAAATTCATGATGGTATACCGCTTTATCGCGCGCATACCGCACCTGTTTTAGATACAGACTTTGCGAACTTTAACGATTACGTTCTTGCATCATGTGGGGAAGATTCTAAGGTAATGATTTGGGCAATTCCAGAAGAACTCGGTGAACCAGAATCTCCTGATATTGAGCCCGTATCAAAATTGATTGGTCATGGAAGAAAAGTTGGCCATGTCCTATTTCATCCTGTGGCAGATAATGTTCTCGCATCTTCATCCGCAGATCTTACCATAAAATTATGGGATATTGAAAAAGGTGTAGAAAAACAAGAACTCAAAGGTTTCATGGATTTTGTACAATCAATGTCTTGGAATTGGAATGGTAGTTTAATGGTTACTACATGTCGTGATAAGAAACTCAGGATTTTTGATGTTAGATCTAATAAAGTAGTTCAAGAAGCCGCAAGTCATCAGGGTATTAAAGGCTCTAGAGTAGTATGGCTTGGTGATACTGAAAGACTTGCGACAACAGGTTTTTCAAAGATGAGTGATCGTCAGGTGTATCTTTGGGATTCAACTCAATTAATGAAACCTATTAAAACGATGATGTTGGATACATCATCTGGAATTGTTATGCCATTTTATGACGAAGATACAAAGATATTGTATTTGGCAGGCAAGGTATGTTACAAAAATAAAAATAATTTAATAATTTAGAATTTAATTAACTTATTATCGTTTAATTTCTTTCTTTCATTCATTTTTCTTTTCCTCTTTATTTATTTATTTTTTTTTTTTTAAAAAAAAAAATCCTATTTGTCGCGTTTAATTAGGGGTCAGTAATTATGTATTTGAAGACGTAATTTTTTTCATTTCGAAATATTTAATTAATTTTATGTTTAATAGTGATGGGAATATTCGATATTATGAATTCGAAAATGACGAATTATTCTTTTTGTCAGAGTACAAGTCATCTGAACCTCAACGCGGAATGGCATTTATGCCTAAACGTGGTGTAAATGTTAATGAATGCGAAATTGCCAAGGCTTATAAAGTTACTAGTAATTGTGTTGAACCGATTTCATTTGTAGTGCCACGAAGGGTTTGTATCAATATATATATATATATATATATAAGTTTTAGTTGAAATTTTGTTTTTTAAAAAAAAATATATTATTATTTTATTTTTAGTCTGATGGTTTCCAACCTGATTTATTCCCTCCGGCGTTAAGTGATGAACCTGCATTAACAGCCGATGAATTTTTCGAAGGAAAAAATGCAAATCCAAAAACTATTGATTTAGAAAATGGATTTGTTGCAAAGGAGAAGAAAGAATTTGTATCTTCCGCGCCAAAGGAAGAAGAGAAAAGTCCTAAAATCGAAAAAGATGTATGTTTTTAAGAGGTTTAAATTGCGTTAATGAGCGATTTGACATTATTTATTTCTTCTATTTATTTTTTAAAAAATTAATTTAGTATAAAGAGGCATATCATCAAATGCGTCAAGAAAATGATGAACTGCTGAAGCAACTGGCACAACGTGACGTTACCATTCGTGCATTAACGGCTCAATTAGAACAATTGAAATCATCTTGAATTTTAAATTATATTTATTTATTTTATTTATTGTCCAAATATATATATATATATGATTATCGTTAAGAAAATTGTTTTTTTTTTTTTTTTTTTTTTTGTTGAATTTAAAACTTTTGATTGTATTTATATTATAATTAACAAAAAAAATTTGTAGTTGATAAAATGAAAATGAAAATAAAATTATAATAGTACAAATTATCTATAAAAATCAGTAAGTAAATTAATGTTCATATAAAAAGTTTATATATGTGTAACATTTAAAGGATCATATCTTTGAAAGGTTTCATGAGATTTCTTTAAATCATTTCCATCATATCGAACAGATTTTACATCATTATTAATTTGTTGTTGCTGCTGATATTTTAATTGATTTTTTTGTTGTAAATTAGATTTTACTCTCGTCATGACTACAGTAATGCCATGAAACTCTGCAATATTATCAAGGTCATTCTGTGGTTCAACATCTGCAACTTCACCTGATGATATATTTTTCAATTTATTTAAATAACTCGTTAATGTTTTTAATTTTTGTTTTTCAAATCTTAATTGTAATTCGGAATATTCCTTTAGTATTTTATTAAGCTCATCGGATTTTTCCTTTTTAAATCTCATCAATTCTCTTGTAACAGTTTTTTGTACATTGATAAATTCTTCTTTCTCTTTTTGTACATTCTCTGTTAACTGAATATATATATATATAAAAATAAGTGTGCACGAGGAAAATTAGTATCATTTCGAAATTGAACCTTTAAAAAAAAAATATCCGGTTTCGACTTACCTTTGAATCCTCTGCAATCGCTACTTGTACGTCATATGAATCTAATCCCTTAACTGATTTCAATTTTTCTGTTTTCTCATATTTTTTATTTCTTTGTTTTACAAGGTTAACATATTCCACCAATTTTTCTGTTCTATTATTCATAACAATCTAATAATAACAATCATAAAAAAAAAATAAAAATTACGAATGAATCAAACCTTACTTTATATAAAAATATTTCTCCGAATCATGAAAAATTATTTACCTTTATAGCTTCTATTATATTTCTGTATTCCAAAAATACGTCACCAAATATGATACTTTCCATTATGGCCTGTATAAAAAAAAAAAAAATCAATTATCTTTTCCCACGTCATTAAATTTGAATGAAATCACGCAAATTCTTATTTTAACATTAACCTGTCGACCTATTAAGTAATGAACTTCATTAGTGAGAGTTCCAAATAAATGCAACATGGTATCATATTGTTTATGACGTTCAGCATTATTAATTGACTTCCCATCTCCCATACGAAATTTACTATTAAGCGCTTGTAAAGAACAATCACCAACATGATTTATACAATCTCCCAAACCTAAAATAATTAAGGGATTAAAAATCAGAAAGAATAATTAAGCATAATGATGATTATAATTTATGGTACATACCTTCACGTTGTTTTATCATCTCATTGACATTATCAAGTATGGCATTGAATTGATCCTCGAGCCTCAGGACATAAATTACACGCATTTGAAACTCTTCGGCATTATTCTTTTAAATTAAATAACGAAAAAAATTATTGAAGCTTATCGATCCGATTAAATGATTCAAATTGATAACTTACTTCATCGATTGGTTCGCTGGGACGGTATATACGAACACCGCGTTCATAATTGGGTTTAATAATGTTATTTAAAAATCCCAATTTTTTTCCCATTTTTCCATCTAATGAATCAAAATTGGTCTTTTTTTTTTAAAAAAAATTAGCTTTACATCCAGTTGGTTTATTGTTTGTTGACTTTTAAAATAAAAGGCGGAAACTTACCATATTATTCGTCAAAAAGTATTTAAAATCCATATTTTTGACAAATTTTGATCTATTTCCAAGTTTTTGTAAGAACCGTTCAATTTGAACTCTTTTACGATTGATATAATCCAAATCATCGAGTAAATTTAGAATAGGTGATTCAGGAATTGGTGGAATGACATAATCAGGTAATTTTAAACAAAGTCTAGAATAAAGCCAATTAAGTTGTTGATAAGTACGATATACTGGAGACGCGAAAGTGAAATCTATGGTACAATTTTCCTAAGAAAAAAAGAGAGTTTGTTAGAAAACGCGATGTTAGCCATCTTATATAGAAATGGAAATGGAAAAAAAAGTGTTTTTTTTATACCCGCGCTTTGGTAATGATCTTAAAGGTTATCGTATCATTATCAGATGAGGCTTCTGTCACTGAAAGAGAAAGCTTCATTATTAATAAATTGTTTCTTGAGGAAATAAACCCAATTCAAAAATTTTCGATTTAAAATAATTCGAGATCTATTGTTATGTTCGAATTTTACATAAATGTCGCGTTCTTCTTTTAAACACGTTTAATTTTGTACTAGGATAACTGAACGAATTAAATATAGCGTGTTGTAACACCAGCCCAATAAATATAATTTAAAAATTTTCAAGAATTCCGTTTAGATGCATACCAATTTTCTGTTGCATAAAAACTAAGCTAAAATTAAATCATTCAAAACTACTTAAATTGCATTTATAAAGTGTACTAATAATATCACTGACTAAAGTATCTCCACACAATCATTATATTATTGCGAGGTGAAATTTATCATGCTATAACTTTTGTTAACAAAATTATTTAAAAGTGGTGATCAGATGCTATCTACTTAGATTCGACTCGGGTCAGATCGGGGATGGCCGTTTAATGGTTAATTTTTAATTTGAATAGACTAATCAAATTTTAGATCATACATAAATTAAATAAAAAATTTAATAGATTTGATGCGCATAATAAAATATATTTAGATAATAATATTGATGTAAGCTAAGAAAATGAACCAGTAACGAACACATTTTTTTACCCACGTGACTGAATTGCGGATCATTTCCAAAAATGGTAATCAAAATTAAAAAATTTTTTGTATTATTAATAAAAACTTATTACAAATGTTAACTAATCTTAAAACTTATGCTTTATATCTAATTTTATCTGCTTAGCATGTTTGCTTAAAGAATAAAAATAGCTTTTAAATGCTGATTTTTGTAAAATTAATTATTTTGAAATGTTCATATTAAAAGTCAAAATCTATGTCTAAAACCTACTTTTATTATCTAAGTAACTTGTAAAGTGGACAAAAATATACATAATATATAAATTTAAAAATATATAACATTTGCATTTAAAGTTTAATTTTTTATTTTAAGAATTATCAACAAATTAGTCACATGAATATGAAAAAAAAGTGTTGGTGTTACTAGGGTAAATGTTTTGTTACCAATCACATAAACTTCATCAAATATTTTCAAATTTATTTCTATCACATGATAATGATTTTTTCTCATATTTTAATATAACACTGTTAAAGTTTCGATGAAAACTAGTCTTAAAATTTGAACAAATAGCAAATTGTATTGAAAATTAGCTTAATAAATTAGTCTGAGAATTATGTATAATGTATTGATAAGTATTAGGGTTGGTAAAAGTCATAATTGGTCCTAATTGGTTCTGATTATATTTAAAAAAATTATTAGTTTTAAAGATCAATTTTTTTAAAATATTGTTATTATATTCAATTTTTTAATTAAAGTTACTTTTTAAATTTCTTTTTAAAATTTAAAATATCTTTAAAATTTTAGACTTAGGACCTAGATCCTAGGACCAGATTCTAAATTAAGTATATTCATTATTTTTAAAGATTTTTTTATTTTAAATTAATAAAATAATTAATATATAATAATTATTAAAAAGATTAATTTATTATTAAAAATTAATTAATAGTATATAAATTAAAATTATCTTTAAATTCTTTAAGACCAATTAGAACTTTTACTAACCCTAATGAGTATACAATAATATATCAACCAATTTATTAAGATATTATAAATAATATTTAACGTTTTCATTTATTTGTAATTAAATTTAAAAAAATTGACTGAGAAAAGTAATAAATTATATTTAATTAATAATTTAATTAATATTATTTATTATTTTCATAGTATTAAAAAATTCAAATACTTGAATAATACAAAATTAGTTATAAATATAAAAATGAAAAAATTCAATAAAAAAAATCATAATAAAATAGTAAATATTAGCAATAAAATAATAAGCAATAATAACTAAGAAATTATATTTAAATAAATTTATTATAATTTAAAATATTAATAAATACTTGTCCAATTATTCAGATCATTTTAAAATAAATAAATTTTGTTATTTTACAATGGTATAGTAATAGTTTTTATTAATTTATCCAAATTTTTTATGCCTTCAATATTTCATAATTCATAATTAATTATAAACAAATTTGCATAAGTGTAGTAATAAGTTTTGAGCTTTTAATTTGTTCATATTTGTAGCATTTAGTCAATGACTTAATACTTGAACTGTAATAAATTCGTATTTGATAATATCATCCTTTTATAAGAGATCTATTATATTTCTATAATTGCAAAAAAGGTTAGTATTAAATTAAAAAAATTAAATGATTTTTATGTAACTGGAATCTTATTCTTTAAATAATTTGATCAATTTCATGATATTATTAAGTAACTTGTTACTAAAATTATTAAGGTTATTTATAATTAGCTACTTTTAGACATTCAATACCTTCAGCTGAATTTGTTTTACACTTAAAAATTTGGCATATCAAATCTTGAATTACATTTTTAGAGGATATCAAATGTAAAGAAAGAGACATTTTAATTTATTTAAGTAATTACATTGAACCTTCAACTATTATATAATTTTTATTAATAATTTATAAAATTTTAACAGGAAAGATCTTCTACTTATTTTATCTTTCTGACTTTATAATATATTTAATAAATTCAAAAAAATAAATAATAATACAAATCATCCTCTATTTGTAACTAGCATCTGCATAAATAATTGCATATTATTTGGCAGTTATAATATATTAGGATTCGCACATAATTATGAACAGCATTGATAGATTATTATTTTATTAAATAGTAATAGAACTGCTAAATTATTTGAATTGAAATAACTAAATGCATTTGGAATTACCTGAAATATAAATCTTGATTCTGAAACTGACAACAGTTTGAAAGATATAGTTAATGAGATTTCTTGATGGAAAAATGTAAATATATTATAAATACTAGCTCTTGAACATAGACTTGGATTTGCTATTAAGTTTGAGATAATTCCATCTCAATTACTTTTCTATTACCATTTAATTCAAGATTTGATACTAAAAAAATAATTATAATTAAAAAATATATATTAATAACTGTAAATTAACTAACATTATTACTTTGTAGATTATCAACATCATTAAAAAAGGCATTAATTATTTAATGATTATCATTTAAAAATAATAACAGTTCTTTATTTTTATTATATGAGGTGGCAGTTTCTTTTTTTTTCTTATAACTATATTTAATATTTATACTTGTAGCTTACTGATTATCTTTCAATATTTTGTCAATTATTAGCTGAATAAGTAGCACTTCTTTTTCTTACAATTATCTTTAGATACAGTAAAATTAGTATTTGTTAATAGTTCAAGTAGAACTTATTTTTCTACCACATTTTATTACTATATTAATATTATTTTTATTTTTTATTTTAATAGTATAAGAATTTTTTGATAATTAAAAAAAAATAGGTAGCAGAATATCTTTTTATATGATTTTTTAATGATAAAAAAATTGTTTATAAGGTCTATTAATTAAACTTTTTATATTTATTTTTGTATTGCATTACATTAAATTAAATTAGATTTAGATGATCACAAAATTAAATTTAAGCTATTTTTAAAAAAGTATACAATAAATTGAAATAAATTATTAGATTAAATATAATTATAATTAGCAGTTGTTTTACTAAATTAATCTATTTAAGTATAGTATTTGTAATACAAAAATACAAATAACTTTTATTTTCAATTATTCATTTTTTAAGTAATTTACTGTATTTTTTTAAAAAAAAAAATATTTTTTATTGCAATATTAAAAAAAAATTGTTATTCTATATTTATATAAAATATAAATTATAAATTCTTTTGTTAATTTTCATAAAATTATAAATTTATAAAATTTTTCAAAATTATTACACTTCTCTTAATTATCATTAAAGTTATGTAAGAAATCAATATAATACCTTTAACATATAAACCATAATATGGGAGATGGTCAGTAAAAAAGAAAAAAATCCATAATTTTTATTATTAAGATTATTAAGCTAAATTTATGCATATAACTAAGATCAGCAAAGTAGTCTAATAATATAAATTTTGACCAAAATTTAGATTTCCCCCTTTTCTACTGACCATCTCCTATATATCAAATAAAAGAATTACAAAAATATGAGGGCAACATTATTATTGATATGAAACTTGATAATATAAGGAATGATAATACTGAAAATGAAGAAATCATTAATAAAATATTATCTGATAAAAATTTCAATAAATTTTTTGGCAAAGAAGAATCTGATAAAAAATCTGTTAAAAAGATCTTAATGAAAAGTCAAATAGAAGATATTTTAATAAAATATCTAGCAAAAAATCTATGAAGAGTCTAATAAAGAATTTAATGAAAAGTTTGATAATAATAGTAAAGATTCTAGCAAAGAATCTAGTAAAAAGTCTAATGAAGAATTTGATAAAGAGTTTAATAATAATAGCAAAAAAATCTAATAAAAAGTTTAATATAAAGAACCTGGTAAAGATGAAAAAATCATTAATGAGTCCTTAAAAAATAAATGTTACATATTAATATTGTAATGTTTAACAAATTAATATATAAAGGAGTGTTAAATTTACTTCATATTTTAGCAATGTTATAAAAGCTTTAATGTTTTGTTAGATTCAAAAACATAATATATATATATTAATTAATTTGATGTATTATAATAAGTTTTACTAATTTTTATATTTACTAATAACTCAAATCTATGATGAATTGGTTGACATAATCAACTATTCTTAATTTAAAAATCAAGATATTATAACTAATATTAAACATTTTAGAAAATATTAACAAAAATTGTCATGGCTTTTAATTAAATCATGAAGCATTCAAATTTTAATAAAAAATACTATCTACATCCTGAGCAATAAAAAAAGCATATTATTTATTTATTATTTGGCAGATGTTTAATAATGTTTTATTATTTAACCAAATATATTTCAAACCTTATCAAAAAGTTGAAAAAAATAAAGAGCTTTGGTATAAAAACTTATAAAAAGAATTATTATGATTTGATCATACTTCAATTTAAATTATTAGAGGTATGTTAAACATTAAAAGTTACTATAATTTAATAATAATTTTTATTCATTTAGCTTGATTTATATTTCTAGTGACATATTATTGTGAAGATTTTGTAGTCTATTAAGAATCATCAAAAAAAATTAGCAGAATTTTAGGTATTGCAAAATAAATAATAAGCTTAAAATAACAATTTAACGTCTTTTAACATTTATCCTTTAGATTTTGCAGGCAAATTTGCCTACTTATTTACTATAAATTTTTCTCTGATTTACTTTTATAAATAATTAATATTTTAAAAAAAAAAATTTTTTAAATTAATTTTATAAATATATAATATAATTATAATAAGTTTTCTCTTTTAATTATATAATAAAAAATTTAATATTACTTAGAAGCTAAAAATTTGTAATTTTTAAAAAAAAATTATTTTAAAAAATTTTGATTAATTTATGATAAACTTTTTAAAATTTACTTTTAATTATATTAATCATAATAAATATTACTTATAAAGAAAAACTTTAATTATTATAATTTTTATAATTTATTAAGAAATTTTATGACTTTAATTAATGATAAAATAATTCAATTAGTATATAAACATATAAATTTTTAAAGAATACTTAAAAAATTATTATAATAAAATTTTTGAAACTTAATTTTATAATTAAATTATTTTAAAAACCTTTTAAAAAACTTAAAATCTTTGTTAATAAAGTTGATAAAATATATATTAAATTATATTTTTTATATAGTAATAATATTACTAAAATTAATATTTAATATTTTATAAAAAATTAACAATTTTTTTTAATTTCACAGGCAAATTTGCTTGCTAGATAATCTAAGGAATAAAATTACAAGAAAACTTGCAAAGTAAAATTACAAAGAAAGGAATGAAAATAAAGTATAGTTATTAGATTGAGAAATGAAGGATGTATTAGTGGATATTAAATTACAAAAATTATTAAACAAATTAAAGTTATTATATTATATACTTTAAATACTATTAGAAAATGTTTATATTTAAACAGAAAACTTGCCTTTTAATAAAAAAAAGCAACTTAAGAATCATTTTATACTCAAATTTATTTCATTTTTGTTGTAATTTTGATGAGTTTATTATGCAATTTGTTGCTAAGATAACAATTCTAAAAAATGAAAAATAATAAATATACAAAGAAACAAAAGCATTGTATTTGCAAGCCTTGAAGATATAACTGCTAATTTATCACAAGGTATTAATCTGTCTAGAATTAAAAAATATGGAATTACTAAGGAATGTTAAACTTGCAATACTATTAAAAATTCATGAACTTCTGATAACTTTGATTTATTTTTAGTTTTCTATTATCACCACCTTACAAACACTTAATTTGAAGAGATTAATATAGCATTAATAGCATTAATAATAATAAGATATAAAGAAATTGCTACATTCTATAGATTTTATATACAGATTCCAATAATTGATAAATTAAAAAAGAAAGATATTTTCAATTACTACAAAATATCTATCATATTACAGTTAGTAAAGTTTTGAGATTTCTTAAGTTAACTATTGATGCATTCTCTTCAGAAGAGAAAATAGCATTTATGATAGCTTGGAAAATATTGAGTATCCTAGATTCTGGAAAAAATTGCAAATCCTGTCTCTTATATTAATAGTTTCATAATGTCAGATTGCTTACAATTAGCCATAATGATACCATTCATCTTTAATAAGTTCTTGAAGTCTATGTATTTTAAAAAAAACTGAACTTTTCTTATTTCAACATTAAACAGAACTTTTTTGAAGTGATTTAGCTGTAAAACTTTGGTTAAAATATTAGGTATTAATGGCGAAAATGATGTTAACATCAGTAGATCAAATAAGGTAAAAATATGTAAAAATAATTAGTTATAAATGATTTTGTTAATCCCACCTCATCCGAAGATCTGCGAGCACAAAAAAAAATAAGAATTTAAACTTTTTTGATAAGTTTCGAATTTTATTTATTTATGAAAATTTGAACGAGTAAATATATATGGGTTTTTTATTACTAATAACGTGATACTCTTCACAACTTAAAATCTACATTTTCAAATAATTATATGATACAAGCAAGATCAGGTATATGTATTAAATTTCAATGATCACATAAATATATTTATATATTTGCGTAAGTTATATGACTGCATTGTTATTGCTGCAGTTGTTTGTGTTTTGTATGATTGTTATTTTCTAGTTTTGGATGTATTTTTTTGATAATATTGATAATATTAGTATATAAACATTATTGTAAAAGAAAAATAAAAATAAAAAAATCATTTCAAAATTATATATAATTACCATTTAGTATTATTATTATTCAAATAATCTAGCATCTTCAGATTCAGAGTCAGATTCATCTAAAATCTCTTCAACAGTATTATTATAATTCTTTAATATTACATCATCTTTCAAGTTATCATTGATATCTGCGATATCATCCTCCATTGGAATTAGTTACATGTTTAAACGTTCCTATTAATAAAAACTTGATTAGAGACATAATCGATACAAATAATAAATTTAATACATACTAAGAAAATTGAACATCGTTTCTTAATAGCTTCCTTGGTACATCAGATAAACTTGCTTCATGGATTTAAAATAATACTACAAACTGCAAGGGTAAATGCTATTATTAAAGGTTTAAGACAGACTTTTTTGTCTTCTTTAGGCATAGCCTTCATGATAATCGTATTGATTGTTAAAAGGCCAGTATCATCAGACTTTCACAATTTGGTATACGCTTCAGCAACTCTTGGGTTTCTTTTCCATTCAGCAATTTTTATACCTGCATTTGCCTTTATTTCAGGAATTTTTGAAAATACTTTAAAAAGCGCTAACTGAATATCTTTGGTCATAGCACTTCGACGATAACGCATTTTTTCGAGACACTAATACAAAACTAATATGAAAACATCGATAGATAATGAATATTAGTAAAGAAATGACATAATGGTTAGATTGCTTACAATAGCCATAAATTCCAAATAAAAATGAGAATCCCAACGGTGTTTTCCAATATCTTTAATATATCCTTTAGAATGCTTTTCAATATAACTTTCAAGATGTTCTTTAAATAATTCCACAGTAGGATGTAAAGTTATCTTTTGAATCTCTTTAGTAATAGCGACGATACCTTTTTATTATTTAAACAATTGTAAAGTATGTCAGTATATTAAACAACGTAAAATCATTTTTGAAATGTATTACTTACATCAAAAAAGGTGGATAATAAACTATCTTCACGCTGTAACTTTGAGAGAACCTTCATAATTTCATCAATTTTTTATCATGCTTTAGTTGATTTTTCCAGATAACTCTGTTTTGTCTGTTTAATTTCTCTAAAAAATCCACAGAAACCATTATGATCTCCTATATTAATAATAAAAAATAATTATACTACTAAAGAATATATAATTTATATTTTGAACTTATATGATATACCAGTTATGAGTTTTTTATCTGTTCGCATTAGCACAATATCATTAGCACTTCAATTGATTGTATTTTCTCAAGTCTTTGGATTAGAAACTAAATGGTCCTATAGAATGTATTATTGCTCATTGTGTTCAATTTCAATATTTTTGGAACCATCAAAATTATCGTTTTCATTTTTAGATTGAAGTAGGTCATACAATTTCAAAGAATAGTTATCATTATCATCCTCTATATTAATATCACAATCACGATTCTGTTCACTTTGATATACATCTGGATTAGAATAAGATACAGTTGTATTTCTCTTTTCATGATTTCGAAGAGAATCTGCCATTAACAAATTTTTAGAAAGACCTACGAAATAATAAAGCAATATCGAATTGATTTTATAAGTATCAATAAAAGTAATATAGTTAATGATGCCTTTATTGGACTCCTTAAACAGAGCTTTAATTATGGTTGGCTACAGTGACTAATTTGTTAAAAAAATTTTACGAGAAACAGGTGGCTGCAGTGATGAATTTGAAAAATATTTACGAGAAACAGGTGGCTGCAGTGATGAATTTGAAGAATTTTTACGAGAAACAAATGATTGTGGTGATTGATTTGTTGGAGAATTTTTATGAGAAACAGGTGGTTGTTTTATTGCAGAAATTCTAGAAGAAACGTGTGTTCTTTCAATATTCGAAGCTTTAGTTATTTTGAAAATTATTTAATATATGACTTGGTTGATTAAAGCATCAAAACAATATAAATTTACAATTTTTCCTCTATATTTTGTTAGCGATACCATTTCATTAACTATATTATTTTTTATATTTAAAATTACAAGAATTTTAATAAAGCTGAAGAATTTTACAAAACTTGAAATTTATGTTTAAGAAATAATTTGCTCATAGGAAAAAAAAAGATATTTGCTTGTGGGAAAAAAAAGAGACTATTTATTTAATATAAGACTTAAAAATGTCTTAAATCTTACATAATAATGCATTAAGTCTATTGATATTTTTAACGATTCATAATAAATTAATATTTTAACAAACCATAAAGTGATGAAAATAATACAAATAATGAAATGGTTTATAAATATTTATTGAAGTTAACATTCAATGAAATAAAAAATTATTTTTATATAAGATTCACATTATTTATTATTTTTTAAATAAAAAAAAATCACAAAATGAGTTTGCGATGTCTTTATGAAGGATGTAATCGAACCTTTACGAAACAACAAGGATTAACTCAACATATTCTATATCGCCATCCTTTTGTAGAAAATGAACAAGAAGAAATATAAGATAATGTTAGTAATGATGATACATAACTTTTTCGAAACAACAGCTTATTCGAAGAATTGAATTTATTTAAAAAAGACTCACTTCGAGTTAAATCAACTAATTTTGTTAACATCAAGGTATGTTTTTAAATCAAATAACATTTAATACAATTATCAATCGTGTCTATTACTGACCTAATATATAAATGTATATTAAAAGAATTTGGAGAATCTTTCAACAGATGAAATATTATTAGAAATACAAAACTCTCCTGATTCTCCTTTGTTGCAAGAACTTGATAATAATGAAATTACGGATAATATGGATGATAATGAAGACTTTATGAATGATTCAGATACAGAAATCGATTCAGTGAACTCTGTAGATTTTTGTGGAGCTAGCTTTGAAGATGCAGTAAATGATACAATTAAGAAATATATTCCACAATGGCCTAACGATACTTATTAAGAATTCACAGAATTATGTATCAAATATGAACTATCAAACCAAGCAACCGATTCACTTATTCGCTTCTTTAACAAAAATGCGAATTTAGACGAATCACCTTTACCAAGAAATGCTAAAGATATGTACAAATTTATGAACTCTATAGTAGTATTGAATCTCGATTATAAAAAGAAGCATATAATAGAATTTGAGAATATTTCATATAATCTTTATTATCGTCCAATAATAAAGGCAATTAAAGAACTTCTCCAGAAACTGAAGATGACTCAAAATTTCGCATTTTAGTTCAAGGAAATGAGAAAAATAAATGAAGTAAGTAAATTTTTTGTTATTTTTAATTAATTAGTGATACTCAAGTTATAATTACTTAACCTTAACATATTTATAGGATGGTAGTTCTTCTCGCATTTTTGCTGAACAGTATAATTGTGATTGGTGAAGACAAACAGAATCTGATTTAAAACTTGGAAACCAAATTTTATCATTGATAATATATACTGATACGACATTGTGTGACAATTTAGGTAAAACTCAACAGCACCCAATATTTCTCATTTTAGGTAATATTCCTTCCTAGCAAAGAAACAAAAAGGATGCTAAAGTATTACTAGGATACTTGCCAATCCTTCGAAGCAAACACCAAACAATCAGAAATTCAGAATATTTTTGAAGGCTTTCATGTAGCATTACAAAATGATGTTAGAGTATTATTCTTCGTCCTATATTAAAACTGGAAGAAATGAAATTAATAGTTAAAGATGTACAAGTTACTTTCGCTCCAAGAATTTCTATATTTATTACAGATATATTAAAAGCCCACGCAATTACAAATACCTATAAGTCAGCCAAATGTAATATGTCATGCCCGAATTGTATAGTACTTATTGAAAACTTAAATAATATGAATCTCTTAGAGAAAGACATAATTATGCGAACACCTGAATTGATGGCTTTTGCAATTCAAGAAGGAAGTGTTCATGAACATTCAATTTATGACCAAAAAAATATTTTTTGGGATTTTCCGTAAGTAGTATAAATTCATTCATTTAGCTTAATTATATTTTTTTATTATAATATTAATTATAAATTTAATAATTAAAATTCAATAATTCTGTTTAACAAATTAAAAGAAATTTGAATATATATGAAGCAACCTTATCTGATCGAATGCATCATTTAGATCTAGGACTTTTCAGATATATGTTGGATTATACACTAGAACTCCTGAACGAACAAGGTGGAAACTGTGCGATCGAAAAGTTTAATAACAGACTAGCAGTAATTCCAAAATTTTCTGGATTAAAGATATTCAATAATAGTATTAATGTTATACAAACTGCCGACGAGTATCGAAATGTAATGAAAATGATAATTTCAATACTCAATGGTTTATTTGATGATAAAGATTAACTTATTAAAGAGTGAAGTCGTAATAACAATCATCCATATATATCATTGACTCAAATAACTTCAGTGTTCCTTTCTTTTATACGTATATATATGATGAGTCGTATAGAAGAATTTTTGGAAGATGACTTATATGAATTTGAGGTAAAAACAATTAATATTTCTTTCACAAATTATATGATTTAACTATTTACATAGAATACTTATCTTGTAGGATTTAATAGTATCATGGAGCTATGAATTCGTAGATATATTTGCTCGATTTAATCCAAGTAATTTATGATTACCTAAACTATATTCTTGGAGATATCATATGGTTTCTGCTATTCATCAGTTCGGGACTATCAATGGATTCACGATGGAAATATATAAGACCTTACATAAGTTTTATGTTAAAAATCCATATCATAAAAGTAACAAGAAAGATGTTATGAACTAGATTATAAATAAGGTAAAGTGATATATTTATTAAACTATAAAATCATTGAGAATATAATTACTAATTAATAAATTATTTGTACTTAACTTAGGACTGATAAAAAGTATTAATAGAACTTGATAGTCATACTATAATATGAAAGGGTGGTATAATGTCAGCTAAACTTCGAGATATATACTGTACATATTGTCGTTTGATGAACATTTGCAAGTTTGGCGACAATTAGAAACAATACATCCTTTACAACTTGAAGGAATGGAAAATTTACTTACATCTCTTGATACTTTTTTAGACAACACAACAATCACTTCTTTCGATGATGATGATAGTTTTATATGGTTATACAAAAGTGCAACATTACAATCTATAGATATCATTTATGCTTCATTTTATAATAATGCTTCACAGTTCAGCGATGTGACTATTGTAATGGATACAGAAGAAACTGTTAATTATATTACTGATTGAGGGGTATGCTTTGGAAAGGTCAGCAATGAATCAAGCGATTTTTATTTTCAAATTTAATTTTTTTCAGAATTTATATCTTCTTTAACGTTAGATATTATTATTGGGATAATTATTTGCTAACAGCTCACATAAAACTGCAAATTTCACTTTCGCAATGGTAAAATGGTATGATTATTGTAAACCAAACTGGAAGTATAATAAGGCTTCGAAAATTTATGGATGTCCTCACTTATCAATGTCAGAAGATTATAATGTAATACTGTTAGGTTCCATAACACAAGCTGTTCATATTATACCAAAATTTCATAAAAAAAATGAATTTCTGGTTAATAAATATATTTTTTAACAAACTGAATGGTTATTTTCATTATTTTCCTAGTCAGTTTTTTTTTAAAAAAAATAATCTTTATAGTATAAGTAATAAATAAAAAATTGAATCACTAATCCTTACATTTACATATTTACAGTATATATTTTTTAAAAATGTTATATTACCTAATATTATATAAATTTGTTTAATATTTGATGATCTTTGTATATGATGTCATTTTTAATGAAATGATTGCCGAAGATTTCTAAAATCGAATATATAAGCATTTTTAAATGGATAATTTTATTGAATTTTATCTAAATTTAAAAATCTCTGATAATACTTACCTTATATAACCTCCTGATAAATATTATTCAAGAGTTTTTTCACAAAAGAAGATTATATTAAATTACATAAATAATTAAATAATGAAAGAAAACTATTATTACGAATAATTGGTAAGTTTAATTATTATTTTCAATCTTTATATTAGTTATTAATTATTTTTATTATAAGATAGGCATTTAAAGATTTTGAAAATATGCCAAACTTGCATATTAACTTTCATAAAATAATGCATGATAAAAATTATACTTTATTATTAAATACTAGTATAGAAATGAAAAAATAGTATACTGTATTTTCAAAAATAATGTGATAAGAATGAACTGTAAAAATATAAACTTTGGTTTGCTAAAATATTATACAACTTTATTTGCAGTATATCATTTATTTGATGGAAGTATCAATAGTTACCTTTCTTTTACAAATAATACATTAATAAACCTTTCATATCACTTAAAATAACTGATAAATGATTAGATTATTACTGAAAATCTTTAGATTTAATGATGATATAAGCAAAGGTTTGATTGTATTTATTGTTTTTAAATATCTTTACTTTTTCTTAATTAATTTAGAACTGTTTATATATAATGTATTCACCAGTAGCATATATCTTAAAGATAACCTTAAAAAGGTGAATATCAAGAAAAAGTTAAAGGAATTTTATCAGTCAATACTGATTTTAGTGTAGAATTAGCATTAACATATTAGGATATATACTATTATTCAGCAATTTTAGAAAATTCATATCAATTTTATGAATATGCTTATTTTTTAATAGAAGAAAATAATATAAATGTTCTATATCATTTGCATATTGATAAAATTGTCATCTTAGTTACTAAAGTTAGTAAAATAATATTAATTAAAAAGTAAAATTATCTTTAACTTTAAAAATCCATTAAAAAGATATATATTACTTATATATAAACTTATATAAATATAATTTTATAATCTTATGTAAAACTTATTTAATAAGATTATATAACTTTTTAAAATATAAATTTAGTTAAATCTTACTATAATGAATCTTTATTTTAGAGGTCAAAATTTGTTATATGAGAAAATTTAGTAATGTTTATATACAATTTTAACAATTTATTTGTTATATAGTAATATTGGATATTATATTCAAATTTAGTATATAATATATTTAAATTAATGTAAAACAAATAATTTTAAATAATAAATAGCTAATGAATTAAAATTACGAAGGAATGCTTGCTCTTAACCAGATATAGATTAATCTATAACTATTGATTCTGAACACCATATAAAAGTGGCAAGTAGCAAGCTTTGTTCAGGTTTTTTTTAATGAAATTCAGAAAAAAATTTATAAAAAAACCTGAGTGAAAAGGGATAAGCAAAAATAATGGAAAAAATAAAGAAAAGTGAGACTAGTTAAAATTATAAAATATGAAAAAAGAAGTGACAATAGTAGAAAAAGAAAGTAAGAAGCAGATTATTAAAAGTTATTTTGGGTTTTAGATTGAGAGGAGAAGTTGTTAAGAAGAGGAGTTAGTGATTCTAAAAAATATAAATTTAAATAATAATATTGAAATTAAACTAAATAAATTTCTTATCTTGATTTTTAGCAGCAAATCTTATATGCTTTCTTTCTTGAACTCAAGATACTAAATAATATAAATATTTAATTTTAATAATGATTTTCTTCAATCAAATATCAATTGGAAAGTTTTATTATTCCAACCTGGTCTCTCCCAAAATGGGATTTCAAATTATTTTTCAACAACTTTTCCAATATGTGTCTACTTTTCTTTCACATTTCCATCAGCATATAATTCAAACAACTAAAAAATTAAAATTATTAAATTATTATTGTAAAATACAATTAATATAAATATTTTTATTTTTTGTTTACTAGTAATTTACTTACTTTACAATCCCTGATCATTCCTTTAAATTTTTTCCTTACATACAATCTATTAAATGTTATTATAAACCTTTTCTGAATCTACGTTATAATCTCATTCTAAAAAGGTAACTTTGATTTTCCAAATTTTCTTCAGTAATCATTATTCCTTTCTCTTCTTAAATCATTAAGTATTACATTTCTTTATCTGGCTATTCAATTGTAGTAGGCATTTTTGGAATTTGTTATTTAAAAAAGATTTAAAAATTATTAATATAAATATTAAACAATTAAAAAAACAAAAACGTGATAAATATTTTCTTATATAAAATTTTATCAAAATATATCAGCATTTAATTAGTTTAATGAGTTAGCAAAGTATCTAATTTTTATGCAACAATCAAAGAAATAATCTAATTTTTTAGCAATTTAAAATTCACAGTTTTTGCAATTGTAATTTTTACAATTTTAAAATTTACGCAGTTTTTATAGTTTCACAATTGCAATTTTAAATTTGAATTACAAAAATTAAATAAATTGAATCAATAAATTAATCACTACTGATTTAACACTAATTAATTCTAGGTTTGATGCTAAGTAATCTGTGGTTCAATACTAATTAATTCCTATAGAAATTTATTAAATAATTATAATTTGATTTACAATATGATCGAAATCACAGCTAAAAATTTAGCTGAACTGATTATCCAGTTTGAAACCAGTTTACTTAACATTTTATTATATAATTTCAACATAACTTGCAAAAAAAAGGTTGTAAAATTTTTTTTATTACAACTATCAAATATATTTTATTCTTTATTAGTTATATTATTTCTTAAATATGAATCCATGATAACTTGCTATTTAGAATAGAATTCTTTCTTGTTCTACAGCTTTACACAATTTTTTTATTGCACAAATTTGATTTTTTTGGAAAATCAATTTTATCAGATTTTTGTTCTGCATAAATAATTATTTTATTAAGTATTACTAATACTTCATAATTACTAATATTAGAAATTTTTGATTCTTCATTATTTGGTTTTTTTTCTGGTTTTTTATTAATTCTATAATTTTCTCATCCATTATCATCTGATGAGTTATTTCTTCTTTTTCATATTACAAATATTCTTTAGTGGGAATTGGATTTTTGTATATATTAGGAGTTAATCGAACAATAAATTCTTGTATTTTATTGATTTCATCAAAATCTGTAAAATCGACAAAATCATCAACATCAATTCTTTCATCATCATCAGTATTTAGCAAAAGAATATCTTTTTCCTCCAACAATTTATAATTACTTCTGATTGAACTAAATCCCATGCTTTTATTGCAAATTTAATTACCTTTTTATTGTAATTTCAGTTATAGGTTGACATGTTTCTTGATTACAGTCAACTCTCTTTAAATGTACACTTTCTAAATGCATGTATTATGTATTTTCTCTCTAAATGCACACTCTTAACCAGTCCTAAGTATATAGAGATCATATAAAATTTTTATCTTTATATGTACATCCTCTCTAAGTGCACATTTTCTCAAATTTTTATTATAGTCCTAAGGGAATGCACTTAGAGAGAGTTGACTGCATTATCAAATGCTTTAATATGATTTTGTAAAAATAATTTCTAATAATGTATTTTAAAATTTTTAATAATTCTAACATTATAAGATTAAAAATGTGCTGTTGTATTAGGAAGTAATTTATAAAGACGAATTTTAGAGAGTATGGTATTCTCATGTAATATATGAGTAGATATACTATTATAAAGTAAAATTATATAATGATTCTGAAGTTTTAGACGTGTATCAAAAAGTTTTAACCAATTATTTCAAATACTAATTCACATATAAGCTATTTTATTTCAATAATAATGTATATATAATAACGATTTTGGAATATATTTTAAGATACGCAGATTTTGACTTTTTTCAATGAAAACTGTTTTGGCTTTTTCAGTTTCTAAAGCATTACAACACAATGTAATAGTAATATATTCTTTAGATTGTTTTTGACCTGCAATTATTATAAGTATTATTTTAAATTTATATAATTATTTATATTAATTTATATTATTAATTAACATTAATTTTTTACCTGATCCAATAGATAAAGTCTGATTTGGTTCTATTTTCAATAAAGTCTAGTTTTATTCACATTAAATATATCATTAGATGAATAATTTTTAAGAATATTTTGAAGATTTTTACGCATATCATTTAAATCTTTTAAAGGAATACTTGTAGCCTCTTCATGTCTCAAGTAATATTCAATGTTATGACATTTTTTGAAACCTGTTAAACATTCATTTGATCCTTTGAAGTCTTATACATCAAGTAATGTGACAAAATTTCTTGCTTTTTATAATAATAATTTACCACTAATAGTAATATTATTATTTATAACTTTTTCAACCTAAAAATTTAACGCTTTTTCAATTTGTGGAAAATTTAATTTAATTTGTTTTTTAACTGAAACTTCATAAGATTCTGATTTTATAGATAACTATTTTTTACTTTCTTTTAAAATATTACATATTATTCCTTCTGAATAATAATTTCTATGGAAAGGTCTTTATTTTTAAGCTTTAGTTTCTACAACTTTTTTAAATAAATTTCCTGTTTTTAGGTACCTATAAGCGAAGTTCTAGTTTGTTTTATTTCTTTAGACATTTTAATAAATAATTGATCAAAAAAATTAAGCTCTTTTCGAATATTTAAATTATTAATTTATATTTTATTAAAATTTTATAATGCAACATTTCCTTTAATAGTAATACAAGAAAAAAAATTTGCTATATTTCTTAAATTTATTATAAAAATTCGTTATATAAAAAACTTTATTAATAAAAGTCTTATTTATTATACTTGATCAAGATCTTTAATTCATTATACATAATATTAAGTTTTTATTATAAAAATTTGTTATATTCAATAATTTTATTTAATAAAATTTGGGACTACTCATATAATTCACTATAATAAAAAATTTGAAATATAAAAATTCGTTATAGTAAGATTCAATTGTATATAAGTCTATAAATTATATAATCTTATATTTATAAAGATTTATATATATTGATTTATGATATAATGATTTAAATTAAATATTTAAACTATAAATATTTTTTTATTTAATTTATAATTTAAAATAATTTAATAAAAAAAAAATCAATGATTATTTATTATATAATAAAAATATATAAATCATTATATAAATAAATAAATAAATAAGAAAAAAAATTAATATAGCAAAATTACCAATTTAATTTAAAATTTTATTATATTAATTTATTATATAATTTGACTTAATACTTGACATAATACATAAATTTTTTTATAAAAAGATTGAATTTTTAATAAAAATAAATGTAATATAATATATTAAATATTATATATAACATTATTATTAAATTTAAAATCCAAATTACAAGAAAAATTGCATTATTATTAAAAATTAAACAAAGTTTTATTAAAGAAAATAAGATATTATTTATTCTCTAAAATTTTATTTAAAGTATTTTTCAATTCATCTTCACTAACAGCTCTCTCTCTTTCATCACCACTTATTAAAGGCCAATCTTTTCTTAAACATTTTTCATCTAATAAATTCCAATTTGGTGATGCTTGTTGTCTTAACCAATTAAAGTCTTCTACTTTATTATATTTATTATTATTTGGATCCAATTTAGCAGCCTATCAAATGTTAATCAATGTAAATTTTTCAAATGCATTAGTACACACATTTTTAAAATATTTTCAAAGATTGATTTTAAAAACCTTTACCTCAAACATTTTGTCTAACCCAGGAATTGATAAAGTGTATGGAGCAAATTTTATGATATTACAATCTTCAATAATGGGATAACTTGTTACATGAAGATATATATTCATTTGTTTTGAAGTATGCATTCGAAACTTTTATTACCAAAATTGAATTATGTTAGTTTAAATTTTCTGAATGACTGATTAAAAAAGGTTACGAGAGAAATATATATTAATTACCTGATGACAAGCTACAACAAGAACACAATTTTCACAATCATTAATTAAAATCGAACTTCCAACAGGACCAGAAATAATCACACAATCTTTTAAACCTTTAATATGTATAGCACCTATGATAACATTTGTACATACGAGATTAATAAAACAATGTTGTAAATTTGAAATATGAAAATCAATTATCTTTTTTGAATCATTTGGAGGGGACAAATAGGAATTTATTGTTAAATAAGAATTTTGTTTATCGTTTAATGTGACTATTTGAAAATTTTCGTTGAAAATCGAAGAAGTGTTGTTGGAAATTATCGTAGTTGAAGTATTTCTCTCTTCCGTATTGATTACTTTCTCTTCACTTCCGTTTGTAAAAGCAGGTTTTCTTGATTTAAACGTAAATTTACTTTTTGGTGCTACTTCTGACCTTTTCGTATTTAATTCTCTAACCAATGCTCGAATTTGCTAAATAAAAATAAATAAATAAAGTATCCTTTTTAGGTACCAAAAAAAAAGTTCTTCCTTAATACGTACCAAAATCAATTGTCTTTGATCATAACCAGGCAAATAAATTGTAGCATCAGTAGCTTTTCTTTCTAATGTATTAATTCGAACTAGTATTTCTTCACATAATTTTGGGATTGATGATTTTGGTTTTGTAGAAAGATCATTGATTGAATTTTGTATTTCTAAATTATTAAATTTTGTTATTTTTTTTAAAAAAAAAAAAAAAAAAAATTTTTTTTCAAGGGAGAAAGGTATTATTATTATAATAATTATTATACCTTCACGCTCCTGTTGAAATTCTTGCCAAAATTTATATGATATTCCTTCCTTACTAAGTTTCCCCGAAGTTTGTTCCCGCAGAGTTGATTGCTCTGAAGAATCCATTTATTAAATTAACGATTTATTAAACATTGTTTTTAGTGATTATCAATTTTTGTAATCGTATGTGACATTTAGACTAAGTGATAGATTATTTCATCATTTATAATTCCGAAAATAGGCAACAAGCAATTTTTTTATTTTTTAATAACGACCTTTACGAAATTGAGAAGAATTTACAGAACTTTCGATTTTTCTTGCATATGACCATTGTATTAGCCATTTACCTCCCCAACCTTCATCCATAATTCTCTTGGTTTCATTATTTACAGGAGCTTCAACAAAATGCTTTACAGCCAACATCATTTGTTTAGCACAAGTAATTTCCGAAAAACCTCCAACTCCAGTACCAAATCCGGTACAAATAACACTATTTATACGTTCATGATTTCCACTAGGATTTTCCAACACGTCTGCATTATGTTTACGAATAGAAGTTAACATGGCCCAAGTACAACGGTAAACAATATCATCATGAGAATCTAATGATTTTGGAGTCCTCATGGTTGGGCAATGGGCCAAATAACCTGGAAATTGGTTCTTTTTTGATAAATCTGGATGGTTTTCTTTTAATTTTTTGATTAAATCGCGTAAATCGACCAGCGTACAAGTGCCAACATTTTGTTCACCACACCATTCCTTTTCAATTTCTTTTTGTACAACGGGAATCAATTCATCTACTCCACCATAATATTCTGTTATATAATAATCTAGTCCTCCATCCATTAATCCAAATGAATTTGCTGGCGATACTAGACAATCAACCTGATTTGTTTGTAATAATGATTGAAATGTGCTATTACAAATTTGTACCGTTAAACGTTTAGTTGAATTCGTTGGTGTTAATTTTTCTGAAATTTTTGTTAATTCTTCCTCCCATGCTTGAATTAATGACTAAATATTTAATAGAAAAAGGTATTAGTATGTGTATCGAAAGAAAAAATAAATTTGTTTTCCTTTTTCAAAAATATTTGAACTCACTTTTTCTACATCTACAAGATATAATTTGAACACATGAGGAAGTTGCAATTCTTGTGTTGATGTACTTTCTTTTACATAATCTTTATTATCACTTTTTTTAGTTTCAGGTAAACTTTCGTTTTCCATCATTTTATTATATTTTTTTATTTTTTTTTATTTATTTATTATAAAAAATTTCTTTGATAAAAAATAATTGTTGCTTTTATTTCTTTTAAAAATCTATCTCTCATGTGATAATATCGGATGATGTTTTTAGTCGTACGATTGAAAAAATTATTGGGCTAAATCAGCCAGCATATTTTTGTTTTCTTTTAATCTGCCAATAGAAATCCCATCAATAATAATCAAACTGTAGTCTTTTTTTTTTTTTATTTTTTACGTTCGCGTTTTCAAAATTATCAATGCCACCAAAACGTATAGAACCTCCTTGTGGAAACCCTTTATATTTAGAATGGTTAAAAGAGTGGATGCAAGAAGCTAAAGCCGCAAAAAACAATAAAAGCTATTACGTCTATAAGAAGGTTTCCTAAATATTCGAAATTCTTGGAATTTCATGTATTGTACGGAATATCCCTTGTTTATTCTTGGTTAATTATATAGGCATATGAGTCAGTGGAGAAATATCCTATCCCCTTTCAACATCCAGCTGAAGCTACCATTTTGAATGGTATTGGACCTACATTAATACAAAAATTAGAAAGAAAACTTAGTCAGCATTGTAAAGAAAATAGCCAACCAATGCCTTCGAGACCTGGTAATTTTTTAAATGTTAATGACACCATTTTAATAATGGGATCAATAATTATGAATTGGTTTTTCAAATTTTACTTTATTTTTCTTTTTCCTACAATCTATTAATAGATGAGGGAACAAAAGAATTCAATTCTATTGAAAATGAACCAAAAATTCAAAAGAAAGTTACAGCACCTAAAACATACGTTCCACAATATCGTTCAGGAGCTTACGCAATTATGTTGGCACTTTACAAATATAGTGAATTTGAGTCAACACCATCAGTGACAAAAGCAGAACTCATAAAGGAAGCACAAAATCATTGTGATGCTTCTTTTGATATGCCTAGTGCAAATCAAAAATATTATACTGCTTGGAATTGTATGAAAACTTTATTAGATAAGGATTATGTTTACAAAAACGGTTATCCTGTTAGATTTTCATTAACTGAATCTGGCCTCAAGATCGCAAAACAATTGATACAAACCGCCAAATTACAGGGTAAAGTAATTTTCCCAGGTTTTGATTTTGATCAACTTGAAGCCAAAAAATGTATTGAAAGTGAATTATCACTTTCCACAAATGAAAATTTTTATAATTCGAAAACACCAATTATAAATTTGGAAAATGATTCAGAGACAGGTTTGGATGTTTCTGATCAAATTAGTATTAGTTTCCAATTTAAAAATCAATCAATAATAGAACCATCAACTTCAACAACATCATCTACTACTAACGCATTAAACGCGTTTTCTAACTTAAAGCCAATAGAATGGGCACCCGGTACTTTTGAAGTAATTTTAATTTTAGATAATCGTGAAGTAAAGTTAAAAAAGGATCGTGATTATATTCAAGACTCTTTACAACAAAAAGGTCTAACAATATCAGTTAGAAATTTGGAACTTGGAGATGTAATTTGGGTGGCACGCAAATGTAATAGTTTGTCACAACAAGAACTTGTTTTAGACTATGTTATAGAAAGGAAAAGGATGGACGACTTGGTTGGTAGTATAAAAGATGGACGATTCAGAGAACAAAAATTTCGTCTTTCAAGATCTGGTATGGGACAAATAATTTATCTAATTGAAGATTATAATTTGAAAGAAGTTGCAGAATTTGGAATGGATGCAATTAAGTCTGCGATGTCATCTACTCAAGTATTGAATGGATTCTTTTTAAAACGTACGAGCACAATCGATCAAAGTATCGATTACCTGGTCAGGATGACAAAGATGTTAAAGAAATTATATGAGGTTAATATTGCTCGATTTGATTTTATTCTTTCGTTAAATTCATAAGTTACATAAATTTCAATACCCTTTTATAATGTATTTTCTAGAATACAACTTTGTATTCTATACCAGATGGTGCTATTTATCGTAACAACTTTTTGGATTTGAAACAACATCTTGCCACTATTTATGCAAATCGTACGTTCCATGTCTCATATGCTTCATATTCTGAACTTAATAGTAAAAGTAGGAGTTTGACATTAAAAGATACTTTTATAAAGTTATTATTGACCGTTAGAGGAATAAGTGTCGAAAAGGCCGCAGAGATTGTAAAAGTTTATTCAACGCCACATCATTTATTTGAAGCTTATAATTCTTTGAACAATGAAGAAACAAAAAAGAAAATGCTTATGGAAATTGGTGGAAATATGATTCGTAGAAGAAAGATTGGCACATCTCTAAGTGATAAAATTTATCAAATTTGGAATAGTGAGATTTATCCATAATTTTTAATGTTTATTTAACAACACATTTTATAACTTCCCATTTAATTTTCTAAAATAACAAGTTGTGAAATTCAAACATTTCATCATCATTTGGTTTTCGTTTTTATCATTTAAAAATCAATAATCAGAAATAAAATCATCTTCACTGCTATCTTTTGCTACAGAAATATCAAGGATTTTTTAATTTTCACGATTAAAGCTATCCTAAATTACTTACATTTAGTTTCTTTTTCTTTTAGGATTGCTATACCCTAATCCTATGCTTGAAACTTGAAATTTCTAAAAGATGTGTTTTAATTAGAAAAGCTTGATAGTGATTACGTATTCTAGTTTAGTTATTAGTCCTTCTAAGTCCTTAGTATCTAAATGAATATTTAACCTAAATACCTATACTAGAATAATTTAAATAAATCCTTGTTTTTTAATTATTACCAATGGTTTAGCATAATTATATAAAAAAGCAGTTCACTAATATGAGTATTTTTATAACTAAATATATTGAAAGTTATTGTCATAATATTTTGTATGCTTTTTGACAAATACAATAATACAACTAAAAGGTTAAATATAGAAGTATCATTTATTAAGATATTTAATTTATATATTATGGATCAATAAACTAGTATTATTATCCAACTAATAATTAGGTGGATTGAAACCAGTGACATAAATTCAAAATATTTTTATAAGTGTAAAATGTAAAAATATGTAAAAAATATTATATAAATTATATGAAAAAGTAAAATAATAATAAACGCAATTATAATTTAATAAATATTGCACTTATTATACTACTCAAATTTATATTATTGATTAAAACACTTAATCAATTGAGTAGTAGTAAGATTTAACTCAATTTTATAATAATTTGAGAAAAGTTTTTAATTAAATGAAATTTTATCTGATTCTGACAACCAAGTTTATGAATTGATAAATATAAAGACTTTTAATTTTCTTATAGATAACTTTGTAATTTTTTTTAATATTCAGGAAAATACTTTGTGATTATATAATAATAATAATATATAGCAAAATATTGATGTACAGCTAAAATACTTACAATAAGATGTTAATACTCAACCAAGATGTTTGTAACAAAATAATAATATAAAATAATATATTTATAATTAAAATATTAATACTAAGCAAGGCATTTGCAATTAAAATATTGATACGCAACAAGATTAATATATAACAAAATGTTTTTCAGAAATAATTTAGTAAAGAATTTTATTTTCTTTTAAAATTAATTTTTCAAATTAACTGTTGATATATAATTGAAAATTCAGTTTATTTATAATAAAATTTATATACTAAATTACTACTTATTATATAAAAATTATATAATAATTTTCTCATTTTATTCTATATAAATTTGTTATAAATATTATCTAATTGCTATGTGATTTGATTCGATCAAATTCAAATCAAAGAATAATTAATTTGATCAAATCTAAATTAATATTTGATTCAATTCGATCAAATTTAAATCAAGTATTCAAATATTTAATTTGATTCAAATCAATAGTAAAGCTATCTCCAAAGCTTCAGAGATGACTTTTACTAAGAAAACTATAGTAATAAGTATTTCTATGACTTAAGAAACATTATTTTCCTAAGAAAATATAGTAAAAAATGCCACCATAATTTTGGAGATATTATTTACTAAGAAAATAGTAAAAAACACTACTGCAATTTCAGAGACATTATTTTACTAAGAAAATATAGTAAAAAACACCTTTGCAGCTTCAGATATATTATTTTACTAAGAAAACATAGTAAAAAATGCCTTTGTAGCTTCAAAAATATTATTTTACTAAGAAAACATAGTAAAAAATACTTCTGTAACTTTAGAGATGTTATTTACTAAGAAAATATAGTAAAAAATACCTTTGTAACTTTAGAAACTTTATTTACTAAGAAAATAGTAAAAAATACCTTTGTGGTTTCAGAGATATTATTTTATTAAGAAAATATAGTAAAAAATGCCTTTGTAGTTTCAAAGATATTTTTTACTAAGAAATTTAGTAAAAAACATGTTTACAGCTTCAAAAATATTTTTTACTAATAAAATAGTTCTGAAGCTGCAATAGCGGTTATTATTAAGTTTTTTTAGTAAAACTGAAGCCACAATAATAGTTATTACTAAATTTTCTTAGTAAACTGAAGTCACAATAGCAGTTATTACTAAGTTTTCTTAATAAAACTAAAATTGCGTAGCTATTTTACTAAGTTTTCTTAGCAAAACTAAAGTCACAAAATTGTTTTATTAAATTTTTAATAGTAAAATTCACCTGTTATTAAACTTACTTTGTAAAAGCTATCTTTGAAATTTTTTAGTACAATTATTAATAATTTTTTAATTAAAACTTTAGAATAACTTTATTTTAATATATCATTGTAAAAATAAAAAAATTTTTTATATTCAATTCAATTCAATTTAATCAAATATTTGATTTGATTTGATTTTGAGGAACCCTAGCTACTGTAATCTTATTTCAAAAAGGTAACTTTAATCTTTTGAACCTTTTCAGTAATTATCATTTCTTTCCTTTCTTAAGTTAATCAAATATTACATCTCTTCATCAAACCATTTAATTGTGATAGATAAAGTTTTAAATAAATCAGATTTTTATCAAATTCAACTTAATTTGAA